TTTTACAACCATAAAGTCTTCTATTTGACAGGTAATCCTAGTATATAATACAAAAGCAAACTACAGTCAAAACTTTGCTCTTAGAAGTCATAGGATATACTCAGAATCAGATTCTTCACTGCTTTTTTTATTGGGGGGAAAAAAATCTCAGTAACATAAAAGTGGTGACTAAGATTTGAATTTGAAATAGGGGGGAAAATGGGAACACCTGGCTGACGCAGATGATGGTTAATGTAGACAAGTGCAGGAATTTTCATGCAGATAGCAAAACATGAGCTACAAATACAAAATAGGAAACACTGAGCTAATGGAGGCTACATATAGAACAAAACAGGCGTTTATGATGGCAAATCATTAACATTGTCTAGACAATTTTGAGAAACAATGAAAAGGTTGAGAATTTTAGGATATATAGTTAAAAGCATTAAATTAAAATCAAGGAAGTTTCTTGAAATTGTATAATGCACTATTTCATTTAAACTGCATTTAGAATATTTTGTACAATTTTGGTCACCATTTTATTGATAAGATATTGCTATTCTAGAAACTATCCAGTGAATACCAACCAGAAACATTCTGGGGCTTAAGAGAATGTCCTACACTGACAGGGTGAAGGAACTGGACCTTTATAATCTTGAACAAAGTGTTCAAGGGGACCTGATACAAGTAATCAATGTCCTCAAAGATGGTGATAGTCAACCCAAAGGATTTCTTCAGAACGGAGTGTGAAACATGAACCAGAGGACACAGTGGAAACTACGTGGAAGCACATTTTAAAGCAAGCACAGGAGGCACGTCTTTACCCAGAGAGTTGAGTGATATGCAGTGGAACAGCTACCTAGCCATTCTATTGAAACCGATACTTTGACTTTTATTGTTTAATGTTGAACTGGCTGGGATCCTTGGGTCAATTAGCTGCTAACTTCAAAATGGTCTATATGATTCCGTCTTGCTTTTTGTGAATAATCTAAACTAATTTTCCCTGGTATTCTTGATGCAGAAAGCTCCATATTGTTTAAGAGCCAACTGTGATCAATGAACAGTCGGGACGCAGTGTCTGAACACTTTACATATTTAACCTGGGTTGTTCCATAGGTTGAGGGAGCCCAAAAAGGATCTAATTGAACGAGTGGTAAATATCATCGGGAAGAAGAAAGCGATCGAATTGCTGACAGAAACAGCTGAAGTGGAACAAAATGGTGGTATTTTCACAATTGTAAGTACTTCCCTTTAAAATCTTTTTTTTGTCGTTGGATGCTTTTGGATACAAATGTATGCCTTTTTTAAATTCCCAGATTATTACTTTTTCTTTCTTGCTGCATGATGCACTAGAGCTGTGTTCATATTCTCTAGAAATAAAACATTAACATTTGACACATTCAACATTTTTGCACAATTGTGTTATTACATACATTATGCCTTAACATACTGCATTAGTACACAAAAGTGAGTTCAGTTATTACAGTTGCAATCAAAGATCAATTGTGTTGGAGAAAGTAAATGTAATAACATGGAATTGTATTTAGAATAAAAAACAGCGGGGGTACTTTTTTACTTAAATTGTTGTGGGAGCCTGGAAAAAGCTACCCATGTTTTTTTAAGCCAGTATTCTGTCTTATTTCAAGAAACAGCAGGATGTTATATAATTGGCAACCAAGTATGAACAGTTTCCTCTCATTTGTAACAGTATTTTGACTTTGCCTCTTCTTCTCACTTTTAAATGTGTACGTAAGTCTATTAGTTGCTGTTTATACAGCATTTTATTGGAGCAGTCAAAGTGAATAACCATATTTAATGGTATATGAGCAATGCCTCCATCTGGGATTTGATCCTACAACTTTCTAGCTACCAGCCTAGAGCCCTAACTGTGCCAAACCTGTGCTGGCATGAAGTTATGAAGGAATGAAAGACTTTCAGCTATAACATAAATATGGGTGCCAGTAATTTTAGAAACCTTAACTATAGTTTGTGTGATTGTGTCTTAGAATATTTTCAGAAATAAGATTTTTAAGATTTGTTTTCTCTCTTGGGGACAGGATCTCTTTCTATGTCAGATCTGAGCAAATTCTCAGGTTGACAGTGTGAATATTTACCTTGTATCCTGATAGTTATATCTTAATATGAGCATTGAAAATGGATTTTTGACCATAAGCATTTTTATTGAAAATGGGGTAAACTACTAAGTACCTTAGCCAAAATCAGAAACCAAGCTTTCAGATTGTTGTGTTTTGTTAATACTTAATAAAAAGATGATCATTAGTTCAGGTGGGTAGCTGCATCAGCATGCAAAAGAACAAGTAATAGGTTTATTCCATGCTGAAAAGAGAAAGAAAACACAACGTTTCAGCTGTGGAGCTTTCTTTGGGTGTGTTGACCCAAAATGACCATTATACAGTCCGGTAAAGGAACAGACATTTTTCTATACAGTTGTAACTACAAGTACAAACATGGTCTTTCCAATGCATTATGTACTTTAACACAATCGGCACTTTAAAGTTTGTATTGATCCTGTTCATTATCACATCAATAATTAAGGCATTGGTTTAAGGAGAATTCCTGTAGTGCTATGGATTGAAACAGCAGTAAGCCCTAATGAAGTCCCTTATTATCTTAAGGAAACGCAAAGGGAGAAGTCTGTACAAAACGTAAAATGTACCATTTGTTTTTAATGTTCTGCTGAGTAATGTAAAGGCAGATTGCCAAAAGCAAACAACGTTTTTTGATTAATTTCACCCCAGATTTCCCTTCACAGCATGGGGATTGTGTTGCTGAAAGTGTTCCTCCCATTCAAGTCTTGCACTTCGAGATGTAAAGCACTAGAGTAACAGTATTGGAAAATGACATTTATAAATATGTTGACTTCAGCCAAGGAAATGAATAATGAAGATCCAGTTGGACAGATGTAATTAATGTGTCAGATTCAGAAAGACAAGGCTGAATTCTAATTACTTCCTCTCCACTGTTTATATTGGCCTTAATAGATAAGGAAGAGCCTCTCCTCTTGCTGCATAAAGACCACTGACGTCACAAGAGAGTGCATCATTTGTTATTGTCGGTGCTTAATAAGTACCATTGTAAGACCATTGAAAAAGGCCAGTGGGGGATTAAATTAGATTTTACATCTGAATCACTGAAAAGGCTGAAAATATTAATTAGAGATTCTTTGTTAAAAGCATCAAATCTTTTATACTTTTTCAGATGTAATGCAAGTTTAAATGCGATGAAGTGTCTTACTTCATGTCCGTTGTCCAACTTGAGACTTTTTTTTCCTTTGCCCAGAAATAAAAACCCAACAAGTGTTATGCTTAAAAAAGGAATATACATTAATTGTCATGGAATTAGCCAAAATGAAAAATGTGTATTGTGCTTATTCATATATTAATCACATGATCACAAATACACATTTCTTTGCTGTAAATTAAAAATAAGGTTTGACTAATAATGCCAAAAATAAGGCTGTTACTATACTTTACGCATGTAGTATGACACAGTTTGCCATGTTCTGAAAAAAAAATTGTTCAGTATTGAGGATAATTTATCAATGGGGAACAGCAATGCTAAATGTATATTTTGGGGTTGAGTGCGTTTCAATTAAATGAAATAATGAAAGTAAAATATACACAGTAACATGTAAAACTTCCAATTTACATCGCAAAATGTCCTGGTATGCTCAGTGGTGTATTGCTGTCATTGCAATTCAGGACGAGGCAGCAAGCCATCTGAAACAAGAAAACTTGCGAAAACATCTCTTTTAATCCAACAGAAATATTGCTCTTGACTTTGAGACAGTTTTGCCGATAAGTACTACTTTTTAACTCTCCGTGCAGATCATGTTGAAACATTTGTCCGGTGAAATGTCTGCTGCACAACCTGTACTTATTTGCTCATACGTAGCATCACATTACTCATCACAGCGACTAGTGAGCAGGAAGGGCCGCTTCACATCACAGTTCTCACAAACTCCCGCTCTCTGCTGTAGCAAGACCAGGGGTGTGGGACAACGTGGTGACTATACAGTACTTTCACAAAGTTCATGATTTTGTGCTTAATTTGCAATTTGTAAAAAAAAATTAATTATATCAATTAATTTATTTTGTTACTGAGGTTTAATAACCAGTCTGGGAGTGCGGGTCCCCTTTAAGGAGAAATGTTCTTGTAATGCAATACGAACTTGAGACTTTTCTTGTAGGTACTTTATGCTATCTACACATTTATTGAAAACCAAACACTGCCTTCCAACAGAAGAACCCATCCTGCCCATCAAACAAAGTTCTGGGATTATCAAGGTGGTTTGGGGCTGATTTATTGCCTTGGGAGCCAGAAGGCTTCCAGTCATTGATGGGAAGTGAATTAATGGAATCGTGAATTCGATGTTGCATTGGCAAATTTGCAGGGAAAGAGTTGGGCCATCCATTTGTAAACTGAAGCTGAGATGACAAGTCATGTGGATTATGTACCAAGACTGTGATCCTAACATAAGTAGATTTACAGCAGACTGTCTGAAGAAGAAGAAAAAGACACTGCATTTTGGATTAGCCAAGTTAAAGTGCAGACGTAAACCTTACTGAAGTGCTGTGCATGGCCTTGAAGAGGCCTCATGTGAGGAAACACTCAAATGTCATATTTATGACTTTGGCTGGTGTGAGATACCAATGAGCAGGAAACATCTACCTGAAGTCATTGCTGTTAAAGGAGGTGCCATCAGTTATTGAATCAAAGGGTTCTCGTACTTTTTCACACCAGGACATGTACTTTAGATTACATTCATCTGCCATTAAAATGGCACTTGACTAGTACTTGCTGGAGAAGTGAAACATATGTACATGTATACATACCTGTTTTTGTTTGATGAGTAAAGAATACTACATTTTTCAAGCTCCAAGCATGTAACTAATTTTTCCATTTTTATTTTTCACACCTCTTTGTCGTTTTTTCTTTACTATTGTAACAGAAACTGTAAAGGTATTATACTAGATATGGTGTAGAATATGTGATATAATTTGTAACAATTAATATTGATTCACTAGTCATATAATGGAATATTTTGATTGAATATGAATGCAGTATTGATATCACCAGACAGCTTGATGTTGGTCTTAATCTTACTTTACATTTGACAGGTTTTATTTGGTGTCTGAACAAGATTTATTCATTAACAATTTTTGATAAATGTTATTTGTTTTGTTCATATGTACTATTATAATTATGCAAATGTAATTTCTTTACATAACTTTCAGAATACATTTATGCATTACAGCTTGTATAAAAAAAGTGTTGGTATGTTCTGCTTCTAGGAACTTCTAGGAACAAATCGGAGACTTTAATATATATGTTAATGAGAATTTAGTGTTGCTTTTACTCATTTTTGCATACAAGCAGACATTTTTCGAACCAGTTGTGCTTATATAGCAAGGCATAAGTGTATTTTATTAAGATAAATCTGGATTATTTAAGTCTTTGTGTTATAAATTTAATCAGCTAATATACACCCTTTAATAATGCTTGCATGAAAATCTTATTACATTTTAGATCTAATGCAATTATGAGTTAATATGAGAATATGGGCCACCCTAGGAGGTTGGGTTATGTTTGGAAATAGTTTTGAATTTTCTTTTCCTTGCAGGATGGCAGTCGGAGACGGACCCCAGGTGGAGTTTATCTCAACCTGTTGAAAAACACTCCCAGTATCTCCAGCGACCAGGTCAAGGTATGACACTTTGCCCTGGTCTTGTTCACAACTGTTACCTTCTTTCCTTCTGGACTTTGTACCGCAGGGTCTCGACATGTGAGAATTCAACATTAAAAAATTCGCTTATTCTTGATTCAGTATGGCCGATGGGGTCTTGGATGGAAGAAGAGCCGAGTGGGATGAAACCAAGGCAAAGATTAAGCGTAACATGCATGTTATCCTTGCACCAAACTCGGATCGTGAGATAATCTAGGTAGTGATTGAGCCTTTCCTTACCCCCTGAGCAATAAGGTCTTGTTTTGAATTTTAACGAGCCCTCCCAGTTCTGTGTCAGCGGTTTGGGGAATGACAGGCTAGAGATGACTTTACAGGCTTACTGATAGGTTTTCATTACTGTGGGTGTGATGATGGAGACATCAGATGCAGAGGAGGAATTTGTGTTGTTTTCTTTAGCTGTTCACTATAAATTTGTGAATCATGTTGGTTTTAGTTGATCAGTATTATCTTCATTAACTAAAAACCAATGAATTAAAACTAAAAGACATAACCTTGCCTTATGATAATTAACCATGCATACTTTCTATGATGGCATAGGGATGGATTATTTAATGAATTTCCTAATCATACTGTAATTCATTAAACCAATGACAGGAGTTCTTTACAGAATTATATAAATTAAGAATGACGGCCAACAAAATAAATCATTTCATGTTAAAGGGTAAAAAGATGTTATGTTCCCCTGTAAAGAATAATATTTGTTTTGCATACATTCTAGGAACTGTAGTGTAGCTGTAAACGGTTATTAGAGTGTATTAATGTTTATCAGAAAGTGAAAAACAACAGAACTTCCCAGCCTAAAGCTTTTAGAATAAAAGGTTAAATTTGTACATTACAGGCCTATGTTCAGACTAAAGTGTGTTTGGACTGTTATTAGAAAACAGGGTACAGACATGGGGTGAATGCTCAAATTTGGGTAATTAGTGAAGTACCACCACTTTTCCCAAGTTATACCTCTTGATAATGGCTTGGAAATTCTGTCATGATTGCAGATAATACCAGGATAGGATGATTCGCAAACATTGTGGAATCTGTAAATTAATTTTGAAAAGATTTAGGTAAAATTGTTCCAGACTAGACAGACAATTGGCAAATGATGTTTAGTGCAGGCAATGATATTGACTTGCATGCTATTAGCAAAAACCTGAAATATAATTATAAATTGTGAAACACTACACCAGAACATAAGGCTACTTATAAAAAAAAAACGTAGGTGTGTATGTTCATATACATCTTTAAGTTTATGTGATAAAGCAATAAAAAGGCGAACATAGGATAGGTTAGGATAACTACTTAAAATATAGAATTAAAATCAATGCATGTTGATCCACTCAAAGTGCATTACAGGTAATGGGGACTCCCTTCTGCCATTATCAATTATTAGCAGCCATAATGCGCACAGTAAGCTCACCGCACATCAGATATGCGTGGATGTGGATGTTGTGCTAAAATTATACAAGAGGAGATAAACCTGATACATTCTGTCTTGAATAGAAAAAACTAGAAGGAGACGAGATCCAAAATCCTTGAAACTATTGACAACCCAAAGCTGACCTAGAAGTCTTCAGCATAAACAATAAAACAGAAACCAAAGGGCACAGATTGAAACTACATTAAAAGTGCATTCAAAACTGAGAAAAGGAGGTGCTTTTTTACTCAAAATATTGTGGGAATATGCTAGCCAGTCATGTCAGGATTCAAAATTTTGGCTTCTTTCAAGAAAGTTGGATGGCATGCTTACTGTACATCAGTTAGCTGCCAATGGACTAGATGGGGCCAGACAGGCTTCTTTCATTTGTAGCTTTTTTTAGCTTTCTACTGGGGAAACATTCTGACAGTATGAAAAGTAGATAATTATTTATCTGAGGTTTTAGCATCTCAAATGTGGTTGGCTGTTCCAGAGTTACAAACTGGTAATGGGACTAATTTCAGAGGAACTTTAACCTCTTCAAGAATAACACAAGATATTTACATTAGATACTGACATAAAAAGTGGATAAATCAATAATGTGATGCAAACATACAAGATGGGTTTTTGACACTTTGATAATGATCACACAAAAGAAAAACACAAACAAAATAGACAGTTCAAAATGTAAAAGGAAGTGTACTAATGGGGGGGCCACACTCTGGCCCTCCCCTCTGCGTGGAACAGGCTGAAGAGTGACTCATCGGTGAAGAGGACCTGATGCCACTGCTGACGAGTCCATCGCAACCTCTGTCTGGCCCAAGCCAATTTAGTGTGACAGCTAGGAGGTGTGAGCAGAGAGCTTCTGACGGGTCACCTCGCTCTAAGGCCAGCAGCATGGAGCCTCAGTGTCCAGTCTGATGTGTTGGTCCTGCTCTGGTGTGGCCACTCTAGGGCAACCGGATCTTGGATGGTCATCTGTCCTGCCGGTCTGCTGAAACCGTCTCTGCAGTCTGGACACAGTGTAGCAGCTTACTCCATAGTGTCAGGCAACGCTGGCACATGACACACCTGCCTACAGCATGCCAATGGCCCTCTCCTTTGCTTCCTGTGACATTCGAGGCATTATGGAATGCACAGAAAACTAAGTGTGGCCTTTGAATTAAGGCTTTCTTAAAGGTGACCTGATCAGGCATTGTTCCACCTGGACCTCATTGAGTAAAAGTGCACCTAAACAGTTTTCGTGTGATTGGCATGTTGCAATGCCTCACTGCACAAGCTGTTTTGCTGATCAGAGGGCTTAAAACAAATTGACAACTTTTTGTGAAAGTACATAAACTATAACTAGAGTAATCTCATTCCAGAAAATGTTGCGTTTCTTTTTTCCATCAATATATTTATATATTTTGCAGGTCCTTGAAATTATTACTGATTTATAATAATAATTGCTTACACTTATATAGTGCTTTTCTGGACACTCCACTCAAAGCGCTTTACAGGTAATGGGTACTCACCTCCACCACCAATGTGCAGCATCCACCTGGATGATGTGACGGCAGCCATAGTGCGCCAGAACGCTCACCACACACCAGCTATCAGTGGGGAGGAGAGCAGAATAATGAAGCCAATTAATAGATGGGGATTATTAGGCTATGAGTGATAAGGGTTAATGGGAAACTTGGCCAGGACACCGGGGTTACACCCCTACTCTTTTCGAGAGACCCCCTGGGATTTTTAATGACCACAGAGAGTCAGGACCTCGGTTTTACTTCTCATCCGAAGGACAGCACCCGTTTACAGTACAGTGTCCCCATCACTATACTGGGGCATTAGGACCCACATGGACTGTGGGGTGAGCACCCCCTGGTGGCCCCACTAACACCTCTTTCAGCAGAAACCTTAGTTTTTCCCAGGATGTCTCCCATCCAGCTGCTGACCAGGCTCACACCTGCTTAGCTTCAGTGGGTTGCTAGTTGTGAGTTGCAGAGTGATATGGCTGCTGGCCATATTTATATAGTCAATAAAAATCGTACCTTGTGGAAGAAACTCATTCAAATCCATTGTAAAATAATTTCTGTAACTATGAGAATTTCCTTGCTGTGGAGTGGTCATCTCTTTTCAAAAGTAGAATTAATCTTCTGATGACTTTCTTCAGCTCTGCCATTTAAGTAATGTTACCAGCACCACTATTATGTTGAGTCATTTATTTTTAATGCAGTTTAAGATTGGAGATTCATTGTTGTTTCTTGATGTGACCTTCAAAACAAATCTTTGAGCCCATTGTATTTTTACATCTCTAGAACAGTTTTCCCTTTTGGAGCATACAGATGATCAATAGTAAATATATAGAAGAGTGCTGAAAATTCTGACTTACATCCCACAGATCAGCATAGTTATTCACTGGTACCTGTGTTAGCTCTGTAAAGAACTCCCTGGTAGTTTTGCAGATGAATAAGCTGAAATAAATACATCAACCATATTGCAAGAACGATGTCTGACTGTTACATCTTTGTGTTTACCTTTTGATTCATGTTTTCTTTTTAAGGAAATTTTCTATGACGAAAACCAAAAAGAATACGCATGCAAAAAAGCTGCCAAAAAGCGAAGACGTCATGTTTTGGGCAAGAAGATGAAGCAGGCCATCAAGACGCTCAATCTCCAGGAGCACGATGATGCATCTCGAGAGACTTTTGCCAGTGATACCAATGAAGCACTGGCTTCATTAGATGATTCTCACGAAGGGCACGCTGAGCCAACCTTGGATACAGAAGAGGCTGTAGTGATTTATAATTCCAACGACTTAGAAATATTTTAACAAAGTTGAATGAAGGCTCCTGTTCTCTAGAATAAAGGCATCTTGTAGTCCTGGATCATATGTGCATGTTTTACGCAAAAATAAGAAAATAATAGCCTTTGTGTGAGACTCTAATGTTTCTCTTCTAGATATTCTAGACCCACATCAGCTATGTATTGTCCTCCACTTTGAAATGATGTACAAATAGGGATATGAAACTACAGTGTATTTTTGTTGAATCTTTGTAGTCTCTCAAAGCTGAAGTTAAAATAAATTAATTCATAGATTAGTTGCTGTCTGATGAATTACCAAAAAGCAATTTTTAAACAGCTATTCTGTTGAAATAGCAATGAATATGACCAACAAGTAGCTTTTCTGATGAGAAAGTGAGCCTCTTGCTAGGAGCAAAATATTTTTTTTGATAAAGACTTATTGTACAGTATTTCAGTGTGAATGAAATGTGTGTGTGATTGTCACGACTGTTGTAGATCTTGTGCAAAGAAGTGTCCTTTTTCTGTTTTTTTTTCTTAATGCTGTTTGTTACGGATGGGTAAATTTAAGAAGCTTTAATGTACTGCACAGTGCATTTTAGAATGTAAAACAGATACACTATCTTAACTAAAACGTGTGCAAACTTTTATTACTAAGATGGAACACTTGAATGCTTTCTGAAAGTAGAATTTACCTCCATTTGTCTTCTCATTTCCAAGAAATAAGAAGAGGTTTTTGACTAAGAAAATTGTATATAGACTTTGACATTTTAGAATAAATTAGTTTTTGTAGTACGAGATCCACCTGTTGATAAATGTACACACAAAAACTGCATTGAAATTTCTATTTTTTTTGTTTATTATATTAAAATGTGTGTGTATCTTCTGTGTAGTAATTAAACCAAAAACTACAGTATATTAAGTGTTTTTCTTTTACATTTTTGTTTAAATGCTACTACAAATTATATCAGATATGATATCAGAAACTTTACAATACTTACACTTATATGTTTTGAATATATCTAATCCATTCATCCATTTTCTGACTACTTCATCCAATAGGGTCCAGGGTCACAGGGGAGTCGGAGCCTGTCTCGACAAGCAATGTGTGCAAGGCAGGGTACACCCTGAATGGGATACCAGTCCATCACAGGACAAACAAACACGTGCAAATTCGCAACATGGCCAGTTTTCCCAGAAGCCCATTAACCTAATTAACGAGTTAACCCATTTAACCAGTAAGTCTCTGGCCTGTTGGAGGAAATCAGTGTACCTGAAGAAACCCAGATGAACAGGGGGAGAACATACAAACTCCATGCAGATAGCACCTTAAGATCCAGGTGCTATCTGCTAGTAACCTGCTATCACAGGTGCTAGGTGAATCCAAGGCCATAGAGCTGTGAGGCAGCATTGCTAACCACTACAGCACCGCACCGTCCTATATGATTCATTTAAGCAATTTTTTTCTTTTGCTTTTTAAGAGGAATACTTTTAATTTAAATCTTAATGCTGTTTGTTTAATTTTATTTCAACTTTTTCGGACAAAGTTATAGTCCTTCAGGGCAGATGTGATTGCAGGAGTTCTCGGTCTTGCAAGCAGCAGCACCTGAAGAGTTGGAAGAAGCTATTAAACTTGTCCAGTTAAGCTAGTAATGATCTAGTTCCACCCTACAGCTCCCTGCTCTAATTCCTCAGATTGTTTCTTGGGTAAAGCGTCATCAAGCTGGTCTTTTAAATCACAAACTTTGAAAGGATACGAAATATCTGCTCCTGGTGGTGTAAAGATTTGTTCAAATGATCTCAAAATTACTTGAGCAAATCACCTAGAATTGATCACTTTGAAATTGTTCAAAGCGTTTAAATATTGATTTATGACCTATAGGATCTGCTGCATGGGGCTCTACAGAAATAGGATTGGAGATAACTGAACAATTTAAAGTGTTCATTGTGAGTATTCCAATTGTTATTAAAATATTCAAATATTCAGGTAGAAAGGTGGGACAAAGCTTCACCAGTTTAATGAAGGGTAAACTTTTGATAGGCAAGACTGCGCAAGCTACAAGTAGAATGTTCTTGTGACTCCAGTGCTACAATACATAACTAGTTAACTGAAAGGGTCAAAGCTAAGTTTGACATTCTTGGTTTGACAGCAATGCCTCATGTCTAAAAGTATTTTTACATTTATCTGGAATGACTGAGACTTTAATATGTATCCTGTGGGTGATGTGTTTTGATAAGACTGGATTGTCATGATATTGCAGTGTTCCCATCTTCTAATTGGACTCTAGCTATTCCAAGTAAAATATTAAATATTTTAGCAAGGTCAACCAGATATCAATACACTTTCAGTAAAAAAAAATATAGAATTGGACTCACAAATGAAAGATTCCTAAATTGTTTTAGTTTAATTGTAGTGTTCTGTAGTTTTTTAATCCAAGATGCAAGTAAACCACTTATTTTTCATCACATTTTTCTTTAATGGGTGTAACTGTCTTTCTGTGCATTTGTGCTGCAATCCTGCAGCCTTAGGTATCCTCTGGCTTTGGTGCTGCTAAAAGTTACCCATGGTGCAGTGTGTGGTTTCCAAGGATTTGCTCAGAATCAACAAACATGGCCAGCGTAGCAACGAACACCGATATTAAGGGGTAAGCTAAGGCGCACTCATTTTGTACAATTTAGCTTTTTAGAATTTCTGAATAAGTAATTTTTTGGTTAAAATAGTTATCTCAATTAATATTTGACAGAAATGAATGGTCAGTTAATTAACACCATCATTAATATTAAATATCTTTTTTTAATGAAGAGAAACCCTTAAGGAATGCAACTACCTTTAAGATGTACTTTTTCCTGCATTATGAATACATTTAATAAGTTATATTATAAATATTTGTTAAGAATATAGCTATTGTAGTAAAGTATATTTTTAAAGATGCACTCTATACAGGCCTATCTCTGCTTTGACAGGTTAGTCCACTTGCACCTCCCTATCTTTACACCTAAACATCCCATGATACCAAAGCACTATGTAATGCAATGGAAGAAAGATATGAAAAACCGAGAACTCATACTAAAGGTAGGGGGCAAAGAGATTTTTAAACAAATTTCCACTTCAGTCTGCTGTAAGTTTTAGATTCAGATTTCCTTGTGATTCTACACAGTTTGAATAGAAGAGCCCATCTCCCACAATTAATGTATAAATGTGACCACAGTTAATGAATCTTGTGGAACAGAATGTTCTTTGTATCACATCCATGGACTTCTTTAAATGATTAGATGTTTAAACCCTTTTTCTACTTTTTCTTTCAATATACAGTACCTGCCTTCTTTTTGGTTTTGGCAGAATGCTGCACTGGCTAAGATTCCCCATGGACCACATGAGGACAGCCTGTACTGGGAGCACCAGGAGAGACTGTGTCATGGGCAGGAGAGGACAGGCAACCTAGACACCACTACCTACAGTTTTCCTCAAAGTAACAGGAAAATCCCAATAACGTCCCATTACTCTAAATATAAGAGCTCATTTATCACTGGGAGAGGCGTGTGGGAAAAGGCACAGCTTTGAATTTAATAGGAATTTGAAATCCATTATTTTCAATAAAAATGCCTTGAAGTATCCATTTTTATTTCATTAATACATTAATGTATTGTCCTGAATGCTATGGAGCACCTGCTCCAGTCCAGTAGGCTATCATGTACCTTTTATTTTTATATCACGACACTTCATGCTCCTTCTCATTAGGCAACAGTACAGTTTTCTGCACTCTGCATCAAAGGACACCATACAACAGTCAGACTTCATTTGCATTTTATTTTGAGTACCACAGATATTACAAATAATCTTTTCATTATATTTGTTTCACATTAGCAGAGAGCAAAATATACACCTCTTAAATTACAATTATTTCTTCATGACATAGCTTTTGTAATCAGAAAATAATTCCATAATGAGGTCCTTGTCATCAAAAGAGTAGGGGTTAATAAATCCTGCTTCAAAAGTAGTCATGGAAACAACTATGTAACTAGTTTCATAATTGTTCCTTTATACTAGAGGATTTAGAGAGCATTTTCAAGTTTTACATGTATTACAAAAAAAAAATCCAGTCTGTGAAAATATTGATCCTCTTAATATAGCCATATCAAAAATCCCATATTCTAAACAAGATAGCTTTTTACATTTTCACAGAAATAGGGTGAAAAGTTTCATTCCAAAGCCATATAATTTGTGTTAATATGAATTAAACTGTGCTTACCAAAGCCCTACTCAGCTTTTAGAGCTATAAAAAGGAGGACAATGGCAAAAATGTAAATGATTCAAAAATGTGTGAATGTGTCTCCTCACAGAGCAGCATCCATACTGAACAACTTCAGTAGGTAGCTTTGTGACACTGCTCTGACCCACACTACGTGATCTTTAAGAGTGTATACCCCTGAAATGTCATTTACACAATGCAGCTCAGAGCTCATATCCTGATGGCTCTTAGGAGCTAAGCTGCCCTGCATTGTGTATTCCTTCTGATTAACCATCATGACTAAAGCTAATTTTACTTAAGGCGTTTGATGACTACAAAGGAATGTCTAGTGTAGAATTTAATTTTCAAGATGGGAAAAATACAGAAGGCAGTACCACAACCACTGAAACCCAATTCATATAATGAACAGCACCCAATAGAAAGAAATGCTTATTGTGCTTAACTGCACCATTTCCATTCCTTCTATGAATGAAATTGTCCCTGTAGGTTGCTGGGTGCTTATACCGGGTATCCCTAGTTGCTGGTACAATCTCAATGCGATTTATAGATTACTGGGCAGGTAACCTAGTGCCTTGGTAAAACAAAATCCTGGTAGCTATAGAATTTCTGTAGCAAGTTCTAGGTCCTGGGAGAAATGTGACTGGGAACTTGCAATTTAAGCCAAGAACGGGCATAATCCAGATGTGCCTTACTGTCTACAATCTTAATACTGTCCCCTGTTGGAGAAGTACATCTACTTAAAGATAAGTTTCCCTCTCCCAATACTATTGTGGAACCCTTTAGTTCCATCAGGCCCATGGGGAAAGCGAATGACCCCAGGAGGAAGGGATTCCCCGTTTAAGACCCTCTTTAACACTAGAGGGCTCTGCCTTGGGCTGCCCTCCAGAGAAGAGGCCCTTGCTGCTGCCAGCTTGCGCCTCTGCACCCAGGGGCTTCCAGGGTTGCTGCTACTGTCAGAAGAGTAATCCAGGTACCGCCTACACAGCTCCGGACTGGTTTCCGGGCTCTTCCACACCTCGGAGGCCAAGAGCGGAGACACGCGGTGCACTGCCGGGGCCGGCTGGAGGATCCTGGGACTGGAACGGGGGCTGCTCCACGGGCTGCTTCTGGGATTTGACCTTGGGGACATTCCCAGGAGGAGGTTACTGTAAGGGCTGAGGACCTGGCTTTGATAAAGCTGCTGTGTGGGCATGGGAGATGAGGGAGTGCACTCGGACTCAGAAGAGCTGTAGGCAGAGGAGTCTTCACCTCCATTCTGCAGCTGTTCCATTCTCCTGCCAAGTGCAGTCGTGCCTTTTGCAATGGCCCTGTCTTCTATAGCACTAGCTTCAGCTGAAGCCTTTTTCCTGGACCCCTTCCCTACAAGGAGCACCTTCATAGTGCTGTGGGCACCAGAGAGCTCATGGTAGGCTCTTCCTGCTGCCTCCAGATCCTCATACTCCACCAGAACACACTCTTTGGATCCAAGCTCAGGGTACTTGTATGCATACTTTCTGATCTCTGTAGGAAGGTCCTTCCCAGGTCGAATGATTCGGAGTGTGCTAATGGTACCAAAAGCCCCAAGTATCACAACAGCTGATTCAATGCTGTTTGTCTTGAGGGTACTGGGATTGTCAACGGTGGCAGCATCTGGTAGGTTCCATACCAGCAAGACTCTGCTTGGCACCTGGGTTAGGAGGGATTCTGGCACCGGAACCTTCCGACGGACTTTATTTCCTTCCTCATTGACCTCCAGATTTGCCGAGTGGCGCAAAGCAAAGGCTGTAACCCTCCAGTCCTTTGTGAAGTGCTTCATCTTAAAAAGAAAGAGGTTCAGGCTGGCTCTATCCTCCAAAACAGCATGAGGAGAAAGCATTTTATCAGGCAAAAGTGCTCCACAGCAATTTTGTACTATAAAGGATTGATCATTTTGCAAATGTTTGAAGCCAAATCCAGTTACCTGTCATGTGTTTACTCTGGGCTTCAGTAAAACGTTCTAACATGGCTTCATTGCACTCCCTGGCAAAATTATACTTTGAAAAAATGATCAAATCTAATTTTACATTTGAAAAAGATTATAAAAATTCAGAACACAAAAATAGCAGGAATGATTTAAAAGAAAAGGTCAGACAATCTACAATAACAAGCCACAATTTAAGAGAAAATAAGCAAAATAACTCCCCCCCCCAATTTGCAGTTATATTCCAGACATTTGTAACTAAACGTGTGCTTATGTAAAGCTCATGGGGCTTCAGATGTGTAATACATTCCCATTGTGCATATAAGCATTGAATGGAAAACGCTGGACACTGAAACTACAAACATTAAGATCTGTTGATTGTAAAATGCAAAAACTTCAAAATATTTCAGATACTTAAAAATGGATAGTTATAATGGAATGGAAAATTTAAAAATGAAAAGCAGTGATGAAACTAAAATGTACATTAATATCAATACAACTGATCTAACCACCACAGGCTTCTATTAAGTTTCTTAATAGTATCTTAGTCCTTCTAAACTCAATTCTCCATGTAAATGTGTTTTCTTTTTTGTTTACATGATCTAGCTTTTCTATCATCTGTGGTGGAACAATTTCCTTCTTACCTTTTTAAAAGAAGTCAGTAGTTTTATATTAACATAACCCATCTTGTTTCTCTTTACATGTTTCAAAAGAAAAGCATCCTTGACCAGGTTTTCATCAGACAGGTAATACTCTATCTGAGAGACCATCTTTTGGATGAGATCAGAGTCTGGAGGGGTCCACTCATCAAGTTCAGCATCATCCTCATTGTCATTCTCAAAGGCATTGTCAGAAAATCTGGGGAGATCAGGGCACAGACATTACAGTTGTAAAAGCAAAAACTATAGACATTAATGCTGGAGGTTTGCTTTTCAGACCTACAACCTGATCTGTGCATTCCCTAAATTCACATTACCCATTCACTTCTCCCGAGAAACTACAGCTACATTATCTAGACATGAAACGAGTGTGAAAAAATCGTTTTAAGAACGTCAGTGTAGGCTTAAAAAGTCTTGAACTCAGTTTTAAGGTGCAGTTCATTCGAGTACAAATGTGACCTTCTACACGTGTATAATGCAGACGGATAAATTGATATACATAACCACAAAGCTGGAACAGCTGTCTTAAATTAATTCATTTAAGTGGAACATTTCTACTTCAATTGGATAAGTGTTCGGTAAACCCAGACGATGAGCCGTTTAAAAATTTTGCAGTACTTATCATACAATCTCGTTTCAGATTGCTAAAAACCGAACATGAGCTCGTAATTACAACCACAGCAAATGCTCAAAATACATAATCGTTTCATTTAAGAATAGGGTTATGCGCTCCAGATGCAGTAAACTGCAATTATATCACCCATTGGTTCAAACAGGTTTTAATTGTTACAGGATTGGTAAATTACATCATTTTGTCAACAGATACTTAATGGTATTTTAGCTACTTTTTAAACCGTATAGTACTAAAGACGTGAATACACTGGGATAGGATATCGACTTACAGTATGTCCATTATAAACCTAAAAGGAGCTGCGTGCTTATTAGTACCAATATACAGATATAATCGTCTCCTCTTGTACTGAAGACGTAACTCACCACACCATGGACCCCAGAAAGCAATACAAACGATTACGGCACAGTTAGAATAAATGAACTTGGGTTAGATATACCGTATGCATATTCTACAAATACAAATGCTATGCTTTCTTGTCCAAATTACGATATAGGCTATTTATTCTTCACAAAAGTGTACCCGTGCCTTAAAATATGATCGTGCTGCTGCTTCAAGACACAAAAAAAAAACAAATATTTCACAACACATGCCAGATAAAACACGTTCTTACAGACATGAATAAAACACTTTTGGCTTACCCTTCGTCGAAGAAAAAGTTTGTTGTGGGTCTGTTTCGCAAGCTGGATTCTCTATCAGTATCTGCGCTATATGCCGTTTCCTGGAACCTGTTCCATTTCGCGTTTACATTGTCGTTTATAATCAGAGGGACAGATTTGCTCATTTTTCCTATCAGGTTCTCCATATCATAGTACAACGGTGGCTGTGTCAGACTCAGAGGGTCTAGCGGGGAAACCTGACAACAAAACCGATCCATATCTCCCCCCCAGCTCACTTTTCCAAACTACCAATCTCTTTGCCTGCTATCACAGTTCACGCAGAAGAAACTCAACAGCTAAATTTAAAGACTCTGAGGGAGACTCATTGGGTTAATGAGCGAAGAGGCAGGGTTTTGAAGTCTAAATACATAGGTGATTGATTTATTAGTACGTTTGTGTGAGTGACGTTTTCAAATATGGTAATTCATTTCGTCACCCTGTTGTGTTTTACCTTATGCATGCAGAACATGTATTTCTTTTAAATAAACATTCTATGTCACTATTCTTTGGATAGTAAATTGGTTACATTTAATACAATACCGCTTCGTTTTAGGAAATTATACCGCTAAGTGATCACTAAATGAGTTTGCACTTTGTCGATTATATGGAAAATAATGACCTAAACCTATAGCCTGAAATGGACGAAAACTCTTCCGTGACAGGTTCGTGGTCTCCACAATTGTTTCAAGGAAACGTTAAATGGGGGTTGACCTATTACGATGTACTATACATTTGGTTATTCTGAATACGTTTCCTTGGTGTTATTGGTGTTTAGTTCAGTTTTCTTATTCAATAAAGGGTCACGGTAGACCTGGAGCCTATTACGGAAAACAACGGGCACAAGGAAGGGTACATCCTGGATGGGACTCCAGTTCTTCACAGGGCAGACAGACACAAATACGTTCAAACCAGGGCCAATTTTTCCATGAGCCAATTATCCTACCAGTGTGTATTTTGACTCTGGGTGGAAACCGGCGCTCCCAGGAAACCCACACGAACTAGGAGAGAACGTACAAACTCCGCGCAGACAGCACCCCAGTTCAAGGACTGAACCCAGAACTGCGAAGCAGCGATGCAAAACAATCAATTAAATATAATTAAATATCAATTAGAATTATTAAAATATTACTACAGTGGCCAAAATTTATTTTTGTTTGCGGGTTGCTGTTATTCTCATGTATGGCACTTTGCCTTGTCCAGTCCGATTCTGAATTCCACGTCTCCCAGTTCCTCGATTCCCACTGAGCACAGGAGAAAACCGAACGTCCCTTTCCCTGAGGAGGGTTTCTAATTGGTCCTCTGCGCGGCGCCCTCATGGACAGGAGTCCTATTGGTTTCACAACTAATCAATCAAACGCATTTCCTACAGATGACGTGATTCCCGGTGTTGTCATCAACAGTTGCGTGGTATGTGATGTTCTTGTTGTTCACTATTGATATTTTTAGAAAGTTACGAAGTCGTCAATTCAGCTCTACAATGGGGATTCTAAGACCATCGGTAATATAGCAGTCGCCCTCAGGATATTAATTAATTTAAGCAGTACAAATTTCTGCTTAGATACAGACCACGTAAGTACCACATATTAATGACATAATGTCTAAACTAGCAATGGGGTCTTCTTCATAGTTTAAATTTCCACTGAAATACAGTGGGAAAACATCGTACTGGGGTTTACTAATCGCAGCACACGTCAAAGCAGCAAGATGGTTCATACTAATCGTCTGATTGTTGTTGACCGCCATTGAGCTTATCTACTTGAAACTTTATTTTAATGTTGTTGTCTTTTTTAAGTTTACGAAGCGTTCATTTTAAAATCAACCTAATTTTAGTTAATACATTTCTATAATAGTATCATTTTCACACGTGTACATGAGAAATTACATTTACATTCTTTTCATTACAGTTGTACAGTATAGGGGTATTCTGTAATATTATGTTACATGTACATGTGAGTCTTTCGAAATCACCTTTTGAGGCATAGTTCGCCTATGTGAAACAAGTAGTTCCTGTATAACCCTCTGTATTTTTGTCAGTTTACAAATTAGATCAAGTGACCTCATAAAAACTAAACAGGCACACAAGGATGTACTTCAGCTGCTTCTGTGCTTTGTCTTCTTTATGGATGAGTTGGAGTTTAATAATCATTAGGTAAGCAGAAAGGTTTTAAGATTGCTTAACTGTTTGATTTATTTATTTATTTGTTTTCAAGTGTGTGTATGTCTACCAGTATGTTACTTTCAGTGGGATGTTTTACACAGGCTCTCCTGATTAACATTCTATAAACATGATGTGGCTTCTGTGATGATAAAGTACTTTTTTTTACCAGTGATGTGTGCATGCAAAAATGGTATTTCAGTTCTGTCCCTGATTTATGAGTTTGACCTTTATGGGTTTTTTTATAATCGGATCATTATGTAATTGGATATCGGGTTTGGTTACCATTGAACTGTTGTCCAGATCATTCACCCATTTTCTAATTGCTTCATCCAATACGGGGTTGTAGGGGAGCTGGAACCTATCCCAGCAAGCAGTGGGTGCAAGGCCTGGGTACACCCTGTACAGGAATCCAGTCCACCTCAGGGCTCACACAGAAAGACACAAACACACTCATACAAGGGCCAGTTTTCACCGAAGCCAATTAACCTATCAGCACAGTATGTACTGTACTATGTGTTGGGGCTGAGGGAGGAAACTAGAGTACCCAGAGGAAACCCATACGAACACACAGATAACAGATAACAGCTCGTGAATTGAACCCGGGGTCACGGCACTGCAAAGCAAGGATGCCAGCCACTGTGCTACCATGCTGCCCTTCTCCAAATCAATTCTGTTTCATTTTCACTGCTGATTGGTTTAAGGAACAACTACTGTACATTATGAAACTACTGAACTTTATGAAACAGTGGTTTCTGGCTACTTGAAAGAGGCTCCATGCTGCTTTCTTGTTAAGACTGAAAACCGCGTGTATATTTCATTAACATCCTTCATTGCTGGTATGAGAAGCCTTCAGAACAGACTGGAGGAGAAAACAGTAATGCTTTGCATCACAATAAAGATCAATTTCCCCGAAACAAATGGTAAAATAAATCTTATAGAGAAAATGTGCTTAGAAATGTCTTATTTAAATAAAATATTACAAAGAAAAGGCATTTTGTTGAAATGGTATGAACAATGGAAAGCACAGTAGTTAGCATTGCTAACTCTCAGCACTAGCGCCATAGCTTCAGTTCTGGACCTGTGATGCTATCTGTGTGAAGTTTGTATGTTCTCTCCATATTTGCATGGGTTTCCTCTGGGTGCTCTGGTTTCTGCCTTGCACTCGCCGTTTGCCGGAATAGTCACCGTGATCCTGAATTGGAAGAAGCGGTTAGAAAATGGATGGATGGGTATGAATAATATCATCGAAACCACGAAAAGCCCCTAAATTAATGCCGAAATAATTTGTTTAGAAGGGAAATTTAGCATTTAGGTTTCTACAGTCAACAATGAACAAAAAAAGCCTTATTAAAAATGATTTCTTTTACTTTGTAAATTTATGGTGTAGCCGAATCTAAAATCTGTGTTTCGCATAACAAACATTTTATACTGTTTTCAGCTATACTATAGTTATGTTACAGTCCAGTGAATTATAGTTTTAGTTTTAACACTTACACATTTGTACCAGCAGGGGGAATCATTTACTTAGGGAAATGGGGTTTATTCTTATCTCTTGCTAACTTATTTTGGGGTAATATATTTAGTATATCGTATATTTTGACACCTGAAGAAGGCTCCACGGCCGAAACGTTGTGTTCTCTTTCTTCTTTTTTTCAGCATGGAATAAACCTATTGTTCCTTTGCAGCCTACGCATGCTGACGCAGCTACCCACCTGAAATATTTAGTATATGGTTTGTCTTGTTTATGCCATCACTTTTTGTATAAACAAGTAATATTAAACCATCTTCTAGAGGGCTTCAGTCCTTCTGCTCTTCATTCCAGTTCTTGTTCTCAGTTATCTGAATTGGTCAACTGGACAAGGATAATATCGAATGATAGAATAAAGTAAATTATTAACTCTAAAACTTTTTATTTCTTGATAGAAGCATTCAATTTTGTCCAGTCAACTAATAATGTGATCAATTATTTTAGAGCAATTAAGCTTGGAATAAAATTGTAGGTCACTTTGTAGTCAGCTAGACTCCACTGATAGAATTTTCTAGGCTGTAAAAATAATCCTATATAATTTTATATTTTATAGATCCTGTGATGGAGCACCATTAACACAGAATGAAATGTGTAAGTATTTGCATTATGATTTGGTCAAATGAAACCTCATGAATAGTGAACATTTAAAAGAAAACCACTAAATATGAGCTGAATGCACAATTCACATATTTTAAATGTGTCTCTAATTCATTTTTTTTCAGCTAGCAGTGCACAGCCACTTCATTGTTGGGAGACAGAAGAATTTACAGTGCTGCGCACATGCTTTCTGTGCAGAGATTATCAGATGGTAAATCAATCCATATGTTCATGTCTGTGCCCCGATGTGGATGAATGAAAGGCAGAATGTGAAAAGGAAGTGTTTATAATTAGAGAATAATAAGGTCTTGTATGGTTTTCCTTCCCAGGGATGAAGCAGTAAAGGTAACACTTCATTGGATATAAAGGAAAACATTTCAGAATAAGAATCAAGCTTATTAGAATGATGCTTTATTTGCTCCTCTTGGTCTTCTTCTGATACTACTTACTATTGTTAGTATCAGAGTTCATTCCATTGAGCATAGTATTGTCTTTGATTTATTATAAGAAGTGTGTTAAAAAGTGCTTCCTTTTATAGAATTACTTGAGATCACACAATATTCTTAAAAAGACACCAAAATCAAATGGAGCTGTAGGATGTTCAAGAGATCATTGTACAGTGTGTGGATATATGAATTAATTTGACTGACTTGCTCGCCTTTGCTGTTTTGTACAGAAAACTGAAGCACAGTGTACTTTTTCTGGCTTTGTAGAAGAACTGAAGTGCAACACCTCAGGCCTCATTGAACATAGAAGGTAAGAACATTAGGAGGGTTACAAATGAAATGAGGCCATTTGGCCCATTTAGCCCAATTGGTAGTAGAGGCAAGGATCTCAATTAGTTGCAAGAGGCCAGGGTATTGACCTCTACAACATCAGTAGGTATAGTAGCTTATTCTATACTTGAATAGCCCTTAAGACAAGTATTGTTTGATATTTTTGCATATTTTCACATTAACAATTTTATGACAATTTGTATGGCTGTATTACATCATTCTTGAAATATGGCCTTTCATCTTCTTTTTGTTGTGGCTTATTAACCCAAGGAGATTATTTCAAAATCGTTCATTACAGCTTGTGTTAGAATTAATTTATGTATATCTACTGTAAATGATTAATTTTTCCAGTCTTTTCAAAATGGTTTATTATATTGTGTTGTTTTATTAAAACTACAAAATATCGTACTGTAAAATGGCCACATTTAATTTTACATCAACCATCATCATTTTTTCCCCATTGGTTTGGATCCTCAGCCAGCTGTGGACAAACCTTTTAAATTCCTTTAGTTGTGATGTTGAATTGGACAATGTCCTTCATGGCTTTCTGACACTGTTCTGCTGTAAGACTGCGCTATTTGTAAAAACATCTGCTGTACGCAGCAGAGGAGATTTTAGAGATGTAAAGGCTGTCATTAACTGCGCAATAATAACAGATTTGCTAGCTGAAAAAGTGATTTATTTGCATTTTAGTTGTCGCTCTGCCGCCGCAGAGGAGCTGAAGTTCTGGAAGTTCGAAGGTGCTATGCTGACGTTCAGCACCCTGTTTGCCGTCCTTGTGATGTTCCGCCAGCGCACACTGGACAGGCGGGCTGAATATAAAGTACAACAGCAGATCCAAGGAATATAAGCAAGCTGTGGATGTTCCGGTCCTGGATGGTTCTTTCCTAATTAAATTGTTATTTGTTCGTCTCTGTGTTTCCACCCAAATGTGAATTTTTTGGTTTATGTTAAACCTACTAGATGAAGGTTTCAGACAAAAGGTAGTTCCAGCTCCCATCGTTTTTCTTATTACAGTGCTGTAAAGATATTTTTTTTCAAATGCGATATGCTGCAGATTAATAATAGAGGTGTAAAAACTACTTATCTTTACTGTTGTATTCCTGTTTCTTAAAAGACAAAACAGAGCTGTTTTAAGTTTGTGTTTTATTGTGAAAGTCTTCAATATTAGGTTACTGAAGTGGGTGATTTAATTTTATATAGCATTCTTGCCTGGCCAGGGGTATACCATAACAAAAAATGTGGTTTATTCAATAGAGAAAGATAGTTTTCCCTGTTTAGAACTGCTAAAAGGAGACAGCTTTGTCCTGCTTAGTCTTCTTGATTGAGAAGGCTTGTTTTGCATTAGTCGATGCTTTGGAGTTATAAATAAACTCTCTTTCTCTATTGAGAAACATTTCATGATAATTTAAATTGCCTGCAGATAACATTTAGGATATGTGGTTTTGAATGAAAGCAATATTTTATCTAGCTGAATAGCTAAATTACTACCTCAGACAACATTTTCAAAAAGTGTGTTGCACAGAGTGTTTCTATGAAAAGAGAATTCTGCCTTGCACAGTCAAGAGTTAGAACAGAAACACTTTCCAGATCAAGAGATATAGTTTTAATAAGCTTGTAATTCTTAATCATAGAGTTTTTATTGAGAATCTGAAATAAAGTAAAGTTTGCGAAACAATTTTGGACTCATTTCAAATGAAAACTAGTTAATTTGGGAATACATATTACAGTATATACATATGAATAGATTTATATTAAAATAATTAGGACACAAAGTGTGAGTTAAAATATTTGTATAAAGATTTAGATAGTTCACAACATTATTTAAAGGTATAAAACCATTAGCAAAAGTTGTCACTTTAGTTATGAATTACACATGACAGCTTTTCAACAGATCAATTACTCTCTGGTGGTGAGATTATAAATATTTTAAATACTCAAAGAAGGTATGATTTAAGATATGGATTATTTCTTCTCACCACCTCCCAGAATTTCACATTTAAACTACACAATATAGACTTGTTTTAAAGTTGTGTAAAAGATATAATTGTATTTGTTAATACTGCTGAATTCCCATTCATTATCAGAGGATTCTGAGATCATGGTATGAAAATGTGACAGCTAAAGGCACAGCAGAGACATTTCATATTTCCTGAATTGTTAGTGAGATTATCAAGTGGGATTTTTTTTAAAAAGTGAGTATGAACAAAAATGTACTTTTGATTCCATGGAGCCAAAGCTAAGAGGAGACAAATGACAAATGAGGAGGCCTCCCACTCCTGTCCCTAAGTTGAGCTCATGAAAGTAGCCCTAGTATTGTTAAAAAATTATAAATATTGCAGTTCCCAAACTAGTTATCAAGTGGGCCCAATAAATCATATTTTTATTATTTAAAAAGATGATCTATTAAACTATTCAGGTGTTGTGTTGGGAGAGGTGTGGAAGGTTAAAAATGAAATGATTTTCCTCAGAATTGATTCTTATGCCATCTGGAGCAAATTCAGAATAAAGGGCTTTGAGCTGACTGGTATGAAGACACTCAGTCCCTCTGAACCCTTTAAAGCACAGTTGTAGGAAGGGTAGCTAACCTTTGCCCATTTCAAACACAATTTTTCTGTGTCACCATTTTTCCAAAGTAGCTAATAAAATTTAATAAAATTGTAAAGAGCCCTATACTTTTGTTATGTAAAGAACAAAGCTTTGGTGATAATTTTCACACTGGATAATATTCAAGTGCATTCAATTTCAATAAAAAGAATGCATATCTCAAACAGTTTTTGCTATTTATAAGGATTACATTTGTTAAATGCAACAATTTTTACAGCAGTGTTGAAAATAATTGTACATACAGTACCGTTTAGAAATGAAGCAAAAGGTTACCTAAGTTTGGGCCACTTTTTGTCTCTGTTACTGGTTGATGGCTATCCTATAGAAGCAAGAAAAAATGTTAGAAAAGTCTAGCACCTATATCTCTTCTTCACATTTCTATCAAGAAAGCAAATCATTACAGTTCATTTACAGAATTTACAGTACTTCATATCCATTGTTTGCTTTAGCAACTTTTGAACGAAGATTCCAACTTTTTGTGTGAAAAAAACAATGAAAAAATTCTGTAAAAAATGATAGATTTAAATCTAAATTATATCCAACGATTAACAATTACCAGGGTGTTTGTTTCATAAATTAGTATAAAGTAATGCATGCCTCCAGACCTCTTCTGAAATTTATGGGAACTGATTCAAGGTATATTCCTAGGAATATTAAATATGTATAGAATGTAAATTCAGTACTATAAATATGGATGCTTAAAATATTTGGAAGAAAACTGGTTATTAAATTAAAATTTCTAAAAAACATCCTTGCATTATACATGCAACTACAGTATGGCACTACAATCAAGTCTTGTTAATTAAGGCAATCAAAAACAGAAACCACAAAACCTTATAATATTGAGCATCAAAAACTTAAAAAAGCATCGCAACAGCTCATCGTGCTGATCAACATTTGTTATCCAAAGAGGTCTATAAACTTTTGGAGGCAATAAAAGCTGTAGAGCTGCGACTCGGGCTTTGTAAAACTTTCAGATTGCGTTGTTTGCGGGATTCTGACTCATTCCTCACATAGAGTCTATGTTACTTATAGTAGATCTCCAAACTTTAGATGCCACACATCGTGAGAATAAATCCGACAACTTTTCAAAATGGCTCAAGTCAAATAGCATCCACTGCACTGCTGTCGCATTTCTATCGCGCAAGAAAGCCGTTACAGGACCAGCGTTAGTACAAGTGTTGTCCTATTCAATACCTTCCCGAGTCGGCAGGGAAGCGCAGCAGAAGATACAGTATTTCAGGACTTAGTAAATGTAGCTCTGTACACTCTGGTTTAATAGTGAAGATTTGTAGAGACTACATACTCCTGTGAAGGCAATTTAAACCTCTCCGTCTGGTCTGCGGCAATAAACGACTCGTTCTACAATTGCACCTTACTTACATGTCCACCAATGTAAACTACCCACATAATCTTGGTTACACTACCGGCGATTTCCATCCAAAGATGCAGACGAACAATAGGCGTTGTCCTGTGAAATAACTGGTCAATCGTTTTATTTTGTGTTTTGCTTTCGTGTAGTCACTTTTTCACCGGTGCCCGATTACGTCTCTTACTAACGAAGTGGTTCAGCGGTTAGACAATCAATCGAGTCTATCACAGTCAATCAAGAATTATCAAAGTCATCAAAATGACGCCAGAAACATGTAGTCATTATACACCATCTGTATATATTATTTTCTAAAACCTGAAAGAAAAGTTTATTTTGATAGTCAACATACATTACAAATTGCTGCTAAACTGCACACGTGCGTTTAGGATTTATTTTGAATTTTGTCTCAAACTTGCAATTTGAAAGGACGGCTTTCGTTACTTTATATCATTGGTTTCATACAGTCACGTTGCTGTTAGATGCTAATGAGCGGCCATATTAGTCAAACCCTTTCTTTCATTCGGTTGGGAGACAAAGTGAAGGGAGGCGGTTTGTAGGGTTTTTTTTGGTCAATTCCTAGCTTGCTTTTCCCTTTTTGCTTTGCTTGCGCTTTTTTTCTTTTTTATTGGCTTCATTATACCCCTTTTGTATTTATAATATTTTTTTAAAGAAGGGAATCACGATAAATATATGATTTCTGCTCCTTGATTTTATAAATAGCTTGGCTTTGTGGGAAAATCTACATATTGTTTTTTTTTTTTGTACTTTTAGGGATTTTGTCCTGCATAGGTTTTTTTTCGGCCTGCTTTGTTTCGCAATTTGGTCTCCTACATTTGCTTCTTTTGTTACAATGGCGACAGCAACTTCAACCCCGGCTGGGCAAAGAATAAGCACTCGTTCCAGCGCTGCTAGCACCCCGTTGAGCCCCACAAGGATAACCAGGTTGCGGGAGAAAGAAGAACTGAGAAACCTGAACGACCGTCTGGCCATTTATATCGAAAAGGTGCGGAGTCTGGAATCGGAAAACAGCGTTCTTCAGCTGCAAATTTCCGAGAAAGAAGAGGTGCGGAGCCGGGAGATCACTGGCTTGAAGTCTCTGTACGAAACCGAGCTAGCAGACACCAGGAAATCTCTGGATGACACAGCCAGGGAAAGAGCCAGGCTGCAGATTGAGCTGGGCAAGATCAAAACGGAGCATGAACAGCTACTCCAGAAGTAAGTTTGCTTTTTGCGTTATATGGACAATTAGGCTTTTCTAAATCTGAATTGGAGGTAAAATCCCATGAAATCGTATCATGTTTTATATATAACCTTGTGCATATTGACATTGTATACAAGTTAAAATATTTTACACACACTTTTTAAGATTTGTGAGGGTCGTATTTAATTGTAAACGAACCAATGTGTTTGTAGTAAGCAATGCGGTAGAAATTATAAATAAAAAAATATTAGTCAAACGACATTAACTACACAGGGTTTAAGAACAACGACAGAAAACTAATATATTTTAGACATTCTTCTGGAAGTCGCTTTTCATTGATTGCCTCAGAGGGGCGTGTTTGGTCACTTCTGTTGAGTGTCATGGGGAAGTTTATTAAGTTGCATTGCAGAACTGTGGGTCGCTTTGTGTCCTTTTCTTCTGTCAGTTTTCCTAGTGCCACACCTTTCCGATTTGGTGGGGGAGGGGTATGTACCTCTCGACAAAGCTGTTTATTGAAATCCCCAAGTCCACATGACCTTTTTTTGCAGCAAGTCGGCCAAAGATGATTGTTTTGGTCGCCAGTCCTGCTCGACTAACTCAAATAATGTCCCGAGATTTTTTTTAACGGCCTGTTTACGTTGATTGCTCCGGAAGCATCCGCTCCCATACGCAGCTCAGTGACCGGGAATGAATGGGTCTTCTGCCATGCTGGTAGACCGAATGATAGTACGCTACAATACTACTACTATTGGCCATATGTGGAAAAGGGGAGGGGTTGTGTTCTGCAACACAGGGACGCATTCTTGAGTTGAATAATGTTCGGATCCTTAATTTATTTTTTTTTAAATCAAAGAGGACACAGTCGTCACCCAAGGGGCGAGCGCTTTTTTGTTATTTTGAAAGTAGGATCAATTTGCTCAAGGTCAAATTTCGGACCCGTCGATGAACAGTGCATTTTTTTAGGGTGTTCGGGTCATCGTGCCTTTCTTTTCCAGCTTCCTGTTAGGCGTAGGCGTCTGAAATATGCCTGGAATAATGCCTGTTCTCATCCTGTAGGGAAACGAAATTCTCACTTTTAAGGGGAGCTGGATAATTGCACTAGCTGATTTTTATTATTCTAGACTGGAATGTTGTTACCTTAATGTTTTTTTTTTCTCTAGCCAGTGTGTACTTGTCAAGTAAAAGAGACTAATGTTAATCAAGTTGTACTTGTCATCTCACTTTGAAGGTCTAGTAAAGATGGCCGCGACCCCCCTCTTGCTGCGTAAGCTTGAATTCTTCACAAATATTCGCTTTTGAAACAGGTTTTAATAGAGCATAATTAGAGGTCTACGCGGCTCATCTATCTGGGTTGATCCTTAACGAATTAAACACACGCAGCAAGTTAGATTCGTAGGTTATTCCACACTTCCACAGTCCTTTGTGTAAAAACCTTTTCTCTGTTCAACTTGCTGCTGTAATAGACTCGTTGGTTATAATTAGAGATTTAACATACCCGTTTAATAAATGTAGTGTCTCTTGTCTGCTTCTTAAGCAATTTTCAAGGAATGCTTTTTTAAAAATTTGGTCTATACCAAAGCAGTTTGAAAAAAGAACTTAAGTCATGTACACAAAAGCATATTGTTTATTATGTTCATTTAATCTTGATTGGAATGGGTTATGAAATTATAACTTGCATTGGCTTTTTTTTAAAAGCCTCCACATACCCGATAAACTCGATGCTTAAATTAGCAACTGAAACTCTCAAACACCTTAAAATCAATTCTTGTAAATTAAACTGCAGCGAAAAGATACGATGGTGTGAAATATGGACTTTCAACCTTCAAATACTCAATGTTTGCGGGCCTGGCTTTAATTAGGACATTGTAACTTTGCCAGGACTATTGTGTATATTTGATGGCATTTGAAAAGTCAATTTTTGCTATTGAATCCCTATGATAAAGCAGGAACTGCAATCAACATGTCGTCTGTCGTGGCAGTAGAAACCAAAGTACAAGGAGCGATACACAAAGGTTTTAATAGTTTAGAGGACAATAAGATTTGGTTAATATTTGATTGACAGCAGCACAGATTTGCACTACATCCGCATCTGTTCAAAGATTAATTGGAACAGTTGCAATCGTATATTTCTGCACTTGGTGTTTAACAGGTGGTTTCATACATCAATTGAAGCTGTTAAAGTTGTTTGTTATTCTTCAGAAAGTCTGAAGTTCAGAAAGAATTCACTTATAGTTTCTTTTGAGTCTGACTTGTCTTCCTGTGGCTCGTAAAGCCTGCAGGAAGCCCAACTTTAAAATGCTTGGTTTTTAACAGTCCAATCCTTGTTCCTTGAGAGGAAAATGTTTTCAAAACTTAATGGAAGTTTTATGAATTTTGTAAACTGATTGATTTCTTAATGGACATTAAATAGTACTTGTAAAAGCCATAACTATTTGCAAACACTTATTCTAGTGCGAACCGTCAGTTATTTGGGAAATTGCAGGGGCTAAGCTCAACACCTTAAGGTACTTGCATCATTCTAATACTGTAGATAAACCCTGGGTGTTACAAAGTTGAGCCAGATCAAGTACAGTACATTTACCCCCCTTATTAATTTTCCTTTTCTGAGCAAGTTAACCATAGCCATTTGGTCATGGACACTTGCTTTTTAAAGAATTGTTTAACTGTGAACTGTTTATTTTAATTAAAATACAAAATACAGGAAACTGAAAGCTATCTGATTTTGTGCAGTTACAAAAAGTATAACACAATTGGCAAGACTATTTGAATGAGGTGATGAATATTAATGGTAACATTGATATAAGAACAGTTGCTGTCAAAATCTGTGTATGTCTTACAAATGTTCATTCACAATGGCCGATTAATAGATTTAAACAAGAATCCTTCATATGGGTTGGTCTTTTGCTACAAGTGTTAATTCTTCCTCTTCAATGGTTTTCCTTTTTAGTGCAGATCACTTGAGTGACACAGCAGCTGGAAGACTGGTTTTGCACAGTTACTCTTCAGTTGTGCCAGTTGTTCCCTTCTAGCTTTTAAACCATAAATTACAAAGCCCTTTTGTCTTGGCTGCCATATACTCTTTTTCAAGAGACCTGTAATTGATATTAGTTCTTATTCTACATGCACATTCCTGGGACGCTTTCAATGTAAACATAGAAGTACATGTACTTATGGTTATAGGTGTGCTGTATTGTTTGAATGTAGTGATCCACTAAGGACAGTGGAGATTCTAGTGACTTCATGTATGAGAGTACTAGATAAGATTTAAGAACTCCTTCCATACACTCATTTTCTAACTGCTTTAACTAATAGTGTTGTGAGGGAGTTGGAGCCTAGCCGGGCAAGCAAAGTGTGCAAGGCAGGATACACCTTGGATGGGACACCAGTCATCACCGAATACATATAAACAGATGCACACATTTTTCAGTATGTTCTAGGATCTAGTTATATTGAGCTTCAAGTGTTCAATTAAAGGTTTGTGAATGAAATAAGGTTGCACAGTTCTAAAGTTCACAGCTATGATTGTTGTAGAAAACCAAAGCCAGCCAAAGGAAATTTGGACTGTGGATAAAATTGGCCGTCTTTTTTTTTTTTTTTGAGTCTCCTGGTTCAATTGCTGAATACAACACATCAAGGGAGGGGCCTTTTCTGTTTTAAGTACAGTTTTTCTTTGGGGCGTGTAAAATGTTTGAAATTCCAGTAGGGTTTAGGTCATTGCAGTTGCACAATGTTCTTCCCTGCATGTACAGTATTCATTGCTTTGTAGCATTTTTGCTTGTTTTTTTTCCCCCTTATTTGCTCAGAAGTTTGTTTTTGATCATTTTATTACACTAAATACTAAGAATTGTAATTCCTTAGAAGAAAAATCTGTTAACCTTAATTTTGCGGCAAGTTTGATTACAAAACTAGCAGTATTGGGCATCTCGGAATATGTCATCGGCACCAGCAACATACCGAGACGTTTTTTTGGGGGACTGTTAACGTTATACAGAAATCTCTCATAGGTCCGTAAATTTTATAAATAAACCTATTTCAAAATCACGATGTGTAAGTTGCCTATGATGTCCTCTGTAATTGCCAGTTGTCTTTGTCCTGACACATTACACTGACCCCTGTACTCACACAGGCAAGATGGGCTGCTCTTGCCAGTTCACATGTTTGCCATTCATTCTCCTTTGACCTACTACACACTCTGTCCCTCACTGTCTTCCACACAAATCTGCAGGTGCTCTAGGAAATCACTGGTACCAGAACTGAGGAGAGCGTGGGTCCTTTAACACTAGCAGTGTTAAGCCAATTACTTTCCTGCTCATGGGTAGTGACATGATTTGAGATTTAAACTCAGTGTCTGGATCTTAGAGCTCAGCTTGTTCGTAGCGAGTGTATTTACTAGTTAAGCCTCTGGCATTTTTTTTTTTAAAGTGATTATGTACTGTGGGACTAGTTTGTCTTTATTTGCATTCTCTTTTATTTTTGGAGCTCTACAGTTGAGACCCTTTGTCACACACCTTTTGTGTTTGATTTTTCATTGGAAGATGTAAACCTGAGGTGAATATGTTGTCCTGCAAAGCCCCCTGGTTTTAAATTAAGTCTGATGCTTAATACATCCCATTCTTTTCAATATCTCCCATTCATCTGTTTTTTAGGTATGTGAACTCTTAAGTGTTTAAATTTTTTTTTAAGGTAACTATCAGGTTGCAAGGGCACTCACTGTAACTGGAAACTGTTGTGCTGTCTTTTTGGCCCAGCTTTTCACAACATCCTTGAGAGGTTTTCTCTAGTCTCTTCACTTAATCCCTGCAACAGCTACATGGGCACAGGCTTTCTTCAGTACTACATCAGGTGTGTGGAGCTAAGCTGAGAATGTGGAGCTGTTTCTGCTACATTCTCTCCTTCTCTACCAAACCATAAGATAGACGTCTGAGGCCCCACATCCTGGGTATACAACAAATAAGATTTCTCCATTTATGGATCAAATTCTGAGACAATTATGATTTGTACAAATCAAGATACAATAATGGTTTTCAAGTAACTTTTATAGTATCCAATGACTGGTGGATGTAAATGGAAAATAAACCTTATTAAACATAGCCACCTTATTTTGTAGCACGTGTGTTGCCATCCTATTGAGTAGATGATCTTGGTAAATGTTATGCATATTATTAATATTGGTAATTAACAGATGGTCTGTTGTGAAAGTGATGTTTTGGGATTCTGCCCCGTTAGTGTTGTAAAGGCTAATCGGGCATCTACCTATTTAATGGTCTGTAAACACTGGGACCTGCACATTTATTCCCCCAAAGCAGGCTCAAGTCCATTGTGTGGGGCATCCATGACATAACTGTCACATTCTCATCTTGCAAGGTAGCAGTTAATGAGCTGCATTAGGGTGTGCATTGTCCCGTGGGAACGTTGTCATGTCAGGAGGATTCTACAGGAATAGTAGCAAATGAGGTCCTGGGACTAGACGCTCCTATCCAACCATCACACTTGGATCTCCCCATCAATCTTGGCAACGTTTTCTGACTCATGGTCTGTCATTGACTGACTGTCATTTTCCCCAGGTTAAGAATTGGTAACTCAGAACACTGTAGATGGCAAGCATCAGTGCACTTATTTAGTCTAGCTCTCATCATAGCAATGGTATACCAAAGGCATGATGTCTTCAGCTTTTTTAACTGGGTAAGTAGCCTCAACACCCATGCCCAGTCAACACTAACATGAAGTGATTAAAGGTCTGAAGGTTAGTCACTCACTTGAGTGTATCATGGTCATTACTGAAAGATAACTTAATCAAAGTGATTTCAAAAACCTTTTATATCCAAACTGTAAACCTTTTCTACAAATGCATAAGTAATTCTTTATTTGGTGTAGATTACAAGTCCAGTATCATGATCATATTTTCTTTGCCATGTGAGATCACATAGGTATTGTTTAATGATGTTATGCCTGTTCATATTGCAGTTATTTGAGCTTTTGCTTTGGTTCTGTTTTTATAAAATTTACTTTTGTCTACAAATTATGCTTTGACAGGGCTTAAATTAATGATAGGATTAATTCGCTGTTAAAAGTTCAAAAGTGCTGTGGTTTAGTGTTAAGGTAGTTTTTGTTCCATGTTCATACAGTAGATGGAGCTCTTTGTACTATGCCATTTAGAATCTTCTTTGTGGCTGACCTTGGACACTGAACACTAGATCATTGTCTAGGTGCCCAACGGCTAAAAAAAAGCTGTTAAATTGAGCCTTTTTGGGTCACTTCTTACCAAATGCCTTAACAGACTTTTTTTTGTGCCAAATTGATTTCCTCTCGTTACTGTTCACCTACATTGAAACAAGCATTGTTTAGAAAAGGGATTCCTGGAATGGATGCATCCTTTTATTGAGGTTTAAGTGTAGTTAACAGGCCATAATAAAAAAATATGGCAATTTTTAAAGAGGAGTGTTACTGTGTGATGACTTTCCCATGCTAATGTTCCATTTGACTACTTGTTTTGTGACTTAGGTACACTATATACCTTCCAAAGTAATTACTTAATAAACTGTTCGCTTGGACACCTCCCTTTCTTTGTTCAACTTCAGAGTTTTAAAGCATGTTATGAATATTTCAACATGATATTACCAAAATGATAAGACATTTTATGTTCTATAATCTCTGTGGTTCAGATGAAACAGGTTTACAGGTTTGTCTTAGATTGCCATCATTTATTTTTTATTATACCTTCCACAGTTGTTAAACTGTATTCCAGTGCTGTGGTATAATTAGGATAAGTACAGTTGAATTTTGTCAATGGGTTCTTACTAATGTATGATTCTAATTTTGATTGTATTTTTAATTGTATAATTCTAATTTAAACAGCAGGAGAATCCTACTCAGTTTGGCCCCTGAGCAAGGCCCTTAACCCCTACTGCTCCAGGGGAGCCGTATAAATGGCTGACCCTGCGCTCTGACCCCAGGCTTCTCTCTCCCCGTCTGTGTGCCTGTGTGTCTCATGCAGAGCAAGCTGGGGTATGCGAGAAGACAAATTCCTAATGCAAGAAATTGTATATGGCTAATAAAGTGATCTTATCTTATCTTGACATCCAAGTTAACAAAAGAAGTGTTAACTAATGTTTGAAACTTTTTCATTTTTGATTTTTCAAATGTGCTTTTCCTTTGGGTAGATTGGAGCAGGTCAGCAGCATTTTGGTTTTTTTTACAGCTATGCAAAGAAAGAAGCTGACCTTATTGGAACTCAAGCCAAGCTGAAGGAACTAGAAGCGGCTTTTAACACCAAGGAGGCAGTGCTGGCCACTGCTCTGTTAGACAAGAAATCCCTAGAGGCAACCTTGGCTGACTTGCAGGACCAGATTTCGGAGGTAGGTTTGCAGGAGACCTAGTAGGAGAGGACTTACATGTGCTGTTTGAAACCGTTTCAGGATAAAGGCATTGCTCTTTATTTCTTGCAGGCTATAGCAAAAGATTAATTAAGACGGGCTTTGCATTGAGGTTAAATGACAGAAGACTTGTTGAATAAAAAATGATTATAATATTATATACTAATTGATTCAATGGTGAATGCCATTCCACTGGCCATGTTGCAAAAATCATATCCCTCTACTCTAATAATTTTAGCCTTTGTGCCTCAGTTGCTGCATTCCAGTATAGAGATCTGCTCTCTTGCTCATAACTAGATGACTGAGATAATCCACAGTAGGGGGAGTTGAAGTTAATTTGCTAAATTTATTCTAGTACTAATAGTTATGCAACCATGGTGCATTTCTTAGTCTTTATTTTATTTGCAAAAAAACATTTTTTTTACAATAAGGGATCTTGTTAACTATAAAGAAATTCTCAAGAATGGAGTGACTTATGTGGAAGCTGAAGGAACAGTCAGTGCAGCTTGATGGCCTTCTCAGAATAAAAACGGATTAGGAAAGGAGAATCAGTCCCACGTCTGTGTTTTACAGAGCTAGGCTGTGTTTTACATTAGTGCTTATACTTGTTGGCTCTTAACAGTTACCAGAATCTAACTCCAGTCACATGCAGATGGTACACTGATATAAGAAAAAAAAATCTCAACAGCAAATTACTCATTTTAATTTGATAGTATCTGACTGTACCTGATAGTATCCGACTCTGATACTCTTGATCTTTGAAATTACTTAAAACTCCATTTTAAGCTTGATATAGTGTTCTTTGCACCGGTTAAGTGAAGCATTTTGTTTTGAGCAACTCCGGGAAGCTACAGAAGAAGAGTTCATTCTTTTTGAACCAGGGTTCTTGGGTTTATGATTATATCTCTGTCTGCTCAGAGTTTATGGAATCTTGCCAGTGTGAATTTTAAGCCTTTGATCCTAACTCCTGTCTGTTCTTTTGCCTGCTATTCTAATTCAGCTGAGTCAGGACTTGGTTTCAGCCAAGAAGCAGCTTGAAGATGAGACCCTGCTCAGAGTTGACCTGCAGAACCGCTATCAGAGTCTTGGCGAGGATTTTGAGTTCCGCAAGAATGTGTATGATGAGGCAAGTAACTCTGGAGTGGTTGAAATGATCAGGAAAATGTAACCTTGTACCAGTATTTATGGGTGTATATCAGACTGAATTTTAGTTTCTTAGGTAATGTTTTTTGCATTTTTGCTGTGATATATTAGACTATAGTGGTTGACCTAGAAATCCCATTTCAAGCTTAGCAATTTGTTTTGAGCAAGATGATTAAATTTAATTGATTTTCTTCTTTCCCTGGAGGTAATAAGCTGTGATGCACAACTTATTTGATCCATATCGCAATTTAGACCAGTGGGCTCTGTGACCTGAAAGACGTTACACGATTGTAATGATCCACAGTCACTCGGGTGTGTGGATCATACCCAGCCGGTAATGGCCTGCTCTTCCGTTTCGCTGCAGGAGATGAAGGACTTCCGCCGCAGACATGAGACGCGGACGGTGGAGGTGGACTCCGGCAAGCAGAATGAGTACGAGTTCAAGCTGGCGCAGGCTCTCGCTGAAATGAGGCAGCAGCATGATGAGCAAGTGAAGCTTTACAAGGAGCAGATGGAGCAAACTTACCAGGCCAAGGCAAGGGAGTGTGCATCTACTCTAGTCTGGGGATGCCTTTCAAGGCTTAGCATTTGAAGAGCACAAGAATGCCTGAAATAGCCTTTATAGATTCTTTTTAAATAGCTGATTTTCCATTGATTAATCACTGTCCATTTCGGCAGACTTTGCAGTTTAATTTTGGTTGTTGCTTTCAGTCTGCTCTGCTGCTGCACTTAATTCCAGCAGTAATGAGTTTTTGAAACTTACCCATCAGCTTTCTGAGACTGTTCTCAGCTGGATGACTGTAAGAGCACTAAACTGGATATTGGTTGCATTTCAGTTGAAGTATAATTTTTTGTTCAAAGCTTTGTGTTATCCACAAAATAATACTTGCAAAGGAGTAGTGATTTCTATAAACCATAAACCAAGAGGCTGCTTCACCAGTGTAGTAAAAACTGGTCTGAAAGTGTTTTTTGTTAGAGGTACATAAATTGTCTCTAAAAACAGTTTTTACAGTACACAGCTGTATAAGAATGTTTGGATCTCTTATGATCTGAAAGACTTTATTAATGTTAGTCTGAAATGGAGCACCCTTTACATCATATTACAGTGATTGTTGCATTGTATTACAGTGATAGATGTACAATGGGGAAAAACGTAGAAACAAATCTGTGGATTTCAGGTACTGTTTTTTAGCACACCACACATACACAAGAAAAAACAAATATGGCTACTTCTACTTCCTGCAATACATATAAATGCATTTAGTGGATGCAGTAGACTATTATGACATATGAGGAACATTAAAGCCAAGTGAATGAATAAAACAAATATTGCACTTCTGTTTTGTTTGGGTCAGATTGACATAAGCGAGTCTGCTCGATTGCGGATGAAATACCGGGTATATTTTAAAGTGATCAGCCTTCTGCAGTTTAAATGTCTGCTTTTCATTGTTGTGAAATGGTCTTGCACATTTCTAGTGTGACCGACGGCTATTTTTTATCTGTTCTGTTTGTAGTGTTAGTGATGCATTTCCTGTTGTAACTAGGCAGGAAATTTGCACATTACCATTCTGTGCAATAGTGATAAGTCTTCCTTTTCTTAGAATTCGTAGTTCTTTTATTTGTACAAGCATCAGGCTCTGGACTACTGTGTTGTGCTTTAACAGCTGGAGAACACCAGGCTGTCTTCGGAGATGAACAGCTCTTCAGCTAGCATGGCTCATGAAGAACTCAAGGAGACACGCTTGCGTGTGGAAAGCCTGTCTGCTCAGCTTGCCAGCCTGCAGAAGGAGGTAAGTGGACATAATTACAGCCGCCTAGAATGGTCTAAAAACAACCCTGATGTAAGAATTCTTCCATCCTCCTATTTCTATGGCTTTTTTTATTCTCACCAATGTTGATGTTAACAGAGTACGGTATATACTAGATTTTAGTGGGGATTTTTCTCAGACTGAGAATTCCTAAATATTGCAACTTTTCTCCATGGTCCTAAAGTTCATAATGCAGGATTTGACATCTATGGAATCCTAAAAGATCACATCCATCTTAACCACTTTGACATAAAGCAGTCCTAGTAAACCAAATCACATTAGTAAAAATGACCAGAAACAGGTTTTCAATATACAAAGCTGCTGTGGTGTGGTTTGCTAGCGGTGTTTCTGTGTGCTTGACAGACCCGTGGGTGGCAGGACAGGATCGATGAGCTGGAGGCAGCACTTGCCCATGAGAAGGACAACAGCCGCAGGGTCCTGGGTGAGAGAGAGCGCGAGATTGCGGACATCAGGGAGAAGATGCAACAGCAGCTGGATGATTACGAGCAGCTCCTGGATGTAAAGCTGGCCCTGGACATGGAGATCAATGCCTATAGGAAGTTGCTGGAGGGAGAGGAGGAGAGGTAAGTTCTGCCTCCAGTAGAAGGACTGGGGCGAGGGTACCCAGTGGGAGTGGGAGACCAAATATTTTCAGATGTACTTTGTCATTAAAAGAGGTAAGACCCATTTAAATAGTTACAGCTATAGGTGACTTTGTAAGTCTATCTAAGAAACTAGATACAATGTACAACACCTGGTTTGTGCCAACATCTCCAACTTCCAAACAAAAGTTTTTTTTTTGCTGAAACGTAGGAGGTCCAGATTCAGTTATCAAACCAATCGTTCAATTTACCTTGGTTTACCCTAGTTAATTAAGTTCTGGGTAAACGATTAAGTGTCAATCAACAGTCCAGAAAGACACAAAATAAGAAGATGAGGATGGTGATGCAGAATAGGTGGGGGTGGGGGGGTAAAGGAAGAGGAAGATGGAGGAAGGTGAAAGCTCCTGGTCTCAGGTCACCCTGGAAGACCAGATTGGAGCCAAGCATGTGAACCTTGTTAAGAGAGCTTGATATTTTGGGTTTTTTAGGGAACATTGATTTCCTTTGTAAAAATCCCTCAGTTAAAAACTGCCTCTCCTGATGAGTGGGTGCATTTTTAGAATAGTGAGATAGGTTGCCATTCATTTGGTTGCATCCAGTTTTGCAGAGATGCATTTAACCACCAGTTGTATTCAGTTTGGAAGGCAGCTTATCTCTTCTGTTTGCATTTGTAGGTCTTATTTAAGAGTCCAATGCTTGGTAGCTGTCTGGGATTTTTTCTGGGTAGCTAGAATGTAGCATAGTGTAACTTGTATTTTGTGTAGTTTAGTGTGTGTATCATCACAGTTAACATAATTCAGGCACACTGGGTAAAACAAATACTCTCCTCACCGGAGCTGTGTCAGAGAACAAAATTCATGTGCCTCTAATTATACTAACTGCTTGGGTATGTTCATGGCAAAATCTTTACAAGCTGAGTGTTAGGATTTATTTCATTTACTTATTGATTAATCCATTTAGTTATTCCCAATATTCACTACTTTTGAAATTCCCTATTTGTAACTATTTTTAAAATAAAATCTCCATAATAAAGTTTTGTGCTTCAGGCTTGTCAGTAGCACAGAGAAAACAAGGACTATATACTCGCTCCTTCACTATACCCCTTGTTTAGCCAATCGTAATGTGGCAAGCTGTGGGCTCTGAGCCTTTAAGGAAGACTGCAGAAATGATTGAATGAGTGAAGTATGTCTAATTGTCACTTGGCGCTTGCAAGTTTTGGGAGTCACTGTCGTGTTGAAACTTATTTACACCACTAACAAGTATGCAGATGGCCCAACCATGCGTCATACCAGAAATGTCTTGATGAATGCTACTCGTTTAAAGCATGCCTTTTTTGTCGAACCACTGAGGTGCTCCAGCATTCATTCACTCTTGTGGTTTAGTAAAAGTCCTTTCATGTTCTAGTTTTACAAGTAGAAATTTCTGGTCACTGTCCAAGAAGTAGCGGTGTCATTTTAATTTTGTACTTACCTGAAGATGCTTGGTGATGAATATGGAACACTTTTTGGCTATTGATTTGTAGGCGTGTGCGAGTGCTGCCCTGCGCTCTTTGGTGAACCGTTCCAGTTTTTTTTTTTAAAAGCTTCTTTCTTGACGTGAGCTGTGGTTCTGCCTCTGCAGGCTGAAGCTGTCTCCAAGCCCCTCCTCTCGCGTGACGGTCTCACGGGCCTCCTCCAGCCGCAGTGTGCGCACCACCCGCGGCAAGAGGAAGCGCGTGGACGTGGAGGAGTCCGAGGCCAGCAGCAGTGTCCGCATCGCACACTCGGCCTCCGCCACCGGCAACGTCTGCATCGATGAGCTGGATGTGGATGGCAAGTTCATCTGCTTGCACAACACCTCCGAACAGGTAATGAATAAAATGACTGACCGGATGGACAATTTGTGGCCACTTTATGGTGGGTTTTCTTGATGTATTGTGAATTCAAAGCAATGCTGCCCACTTCAAATCTGGTTAAATAAGAAGCAAACGTAGGTATGGCACAAATTGGTGAACTTTTCTGGTTTGGCGGGATGGTAGCGTGTAGACTTAATGTAACTTGCATGTTTTGACCGTTTGAACAAGAGCCAGGACAATTTGCATTTCCTAATACACACAGGGTGTTAGACACTAAAGGAAAACTTCAGTTGCATATTATGGCAACTTCTGTTTGGATCCCTTGGTCTGGTGAAGCAAAAGATTGAACTAATATCACTGTTTCATTCAGTCTGTACAGAAATATGTTAGTGATGGTAAATCTCTTGATACTGGATTTACCGCGTCAGTTCCACCAGAAATTAAAATGCTTTAAATAAACCCAGTCAGCAGTTCAAGCTGTACAGGTTCATTATAAAGAAAGGAAAAAGGACCACATATTATAAATTATTGAAAATCAGTATTATAAATTAATGTCAGAACTGGACAAAATATACCCAAACAACAAGGTAAGCTTTTTTTTCTGTTTTTCAGTTTAGGTGATTTTGGCAGATAAGTGTTTAGGCTGAGACTACACCCCTGCTTATAATCCGTATAATTGACCAGTAAAACGAGTTATTTTATGCAGCTGGCTAGGTTTAAGTGTTGCTTTGCACAATAATATTCTGTAGCCTTGTTGCTTTTTCTTCTATTATGCTCTCAGTTTTATGGCAATGCATAGTTTTAAGGGGTTATGCTACGAGTCTTTGATTTTTGGTTTTCAGACATCTTAAATATGTGATCTATAGACCTGTGTGAAAGTCTGCAATTCATACTAGCATTGGCATTTTTATTCTGTAATCGTTCATACACTCGTTTTGGCCTTTCCATGTGGTAGATGTAAGTGGACCAGGTTTATAGTCGGGATGTTTCAAGGTAACATTACAGCTACATGCTTTGTCAGGTGAGAATAACATGAAAAGGAACATAAAATTAGTAGTGAAGTGACTACCATCTTTTCTGGTTGCTCTCCACAGCAGTTCTCACCCTCACTATGTTTTTATACCCTGACTTGCTAAACCTCTAATTGAAGAAAGGGGAAGACTGTCAATCACCACTTCTCAGAAAGTGGCGAGAAGATGCTGAAGGGGAAGGTTGCTCAACACTTATTCGTGACCTTTAAAATGACTGAGGTTCATTATGCCAAAATTTTCACTTTCCCCACTTCTCATTTTATTCATTCCCTTCGAGAAATATGAAGCCTTTTTTCTCTGTTGCTATAAATGATCATGCTGAGAATATACATGGTTACTAGCATAAACAGTTCCATGGGTGCTGTGTGTACTCAAGCACCACCAATATATATTATATTGTATATTATAATAACTTATATAACAATATTAGTTATAACTTATATTGTTAAAGTAGGGTTGAATGCTTTTTTGTTTGGGAACTTGACATTGCACCTACTTAAGCTTTTTTTTCTGGTTAATGATTCACTTGATTTTTAAGGACCAATTAAAATGAAATCGCAATTATAAATGATGTTTAAACTGAAAGCATTGTATGCCTTTCTGAAATGTATATCCTATACCACAGTTTTTAATTTAGAGAACTAGCACTTCAAAACTCTCAAACCTCAGCATCTATAATGAATTTGACTTCTTATTTCTTATTGTAATGGCAAGTCATATTACAGTGAGTAAAATAAGGAATCCAGCCTTTCTTCAGGTGCGGGTACTGGTTATGTTAGCGGAGGAAGTCAACTTTAATGTGGCTCATCTTTAAGAATGAGAAGGAATGTTTTTTTAATAATGTGGGTACTTTTTAAATTGTTTACTAAAGTTTGCATATATTGAAAATGAATAAATGTTCGTTTTTTAAACCTTTGCCCCCATAAAGCTCGCAACAAAATAATGAATGTGTGTGTAATAAGGTCTGTTACTTGATTTCCCATCTATGCTAATATTTCGTATGCCTTTATGTAGGACCAGCCAATGGGAGGCATGGAACTGACGAGAACAATTGGTGAAACGTCGGCCACCTTTAAGTTTAACGCCAAGTTTATTTTAAGAGCAACCCAGAAAGTAACAGTAAGTTCACATTTTTGCAAAGATTCACACTTTCAAATGCTGCTTGTAAAATGGGTGATTTTATCTCAATATGTATGTTCTAATGCTGACATGAAAAATAAATTCTTAAAAATATCTGAATTTTCAAACTGGGATAGCACTATTAGAACTAACTTTCAGTCAATTGATTTAAATTCTTAAAAATATCTGAATTTTCAAACTGGGATAGCACTATTAGAACATTAACTTTCAGTCAATTGATTACCAGTACTTCTGAGCACGTAATGCGTTAATATACATATTATATATTGGAACTCCACATAACTAATTGTAGGAATGTTGTAAAAACGCTTATAAATGACTTGTGAATTTTGTGTTCTGTTTACATTGGGTGTAGCAATAAATGGCATGTTAAAGATGGAAAATAATTTTCTAATTAAATTATACTGCTCACAGTATTGAGATATTGATGATTTCCTTTCCTGATGATTGTGTAATGATTGACTTTCATGTCTTGTTTCCCTCAGAATCAAGAACAAAACGACAGTCTCATTGCTCTTTTTTTAATCTTTTCTGTGTCATTTATTGTTGAATTAGCATTGGTATCATAAATGGTTTTGCCTGTGACAAACAGATCAATATGTTGATAAATTAAGATTATACAATTTTGTATAAAATTTAGCACATCAGGGGTAACATTCTGCTGAACCTCTCACATATGATTGTTTGGTTTAGAGGTGTGTCTCGCTCGCAGTGGTCACTCAGGACTGAAAGAACCCTAGCCAGTTAATTCCTTTGAAGAACATTGTGATTTTACCCAGTCACCTGATGGTGTTTTGAGAGGAGAGTGACACATTTGACTATAACAGCAGGTCAAAGGTTATGTTTTGTTGACAGATCTGGGCCAATAATGCTGGAGTGAGTGCCAGCTATCCTACTGATCTCATCTGGAAGAACCAGAGTTCCTGGGGCACTGGTGAGGATGTGAAAGTTGTACTGAAGAACTCTCAGGGAGAGGTAAGGTGTCTGCTTAGTGTGATGCTGTTGTGCAAGAGGGTCTTTGGCCAAAGACTCTGCTGTTTGGGTGGGTGGGGTTGGAGTGAAATTAATAAACATTCACTAGTCCCTCAGTTAGGAGGGTTTGTAGGAGGTCCTTAAAAATGCTTACTAGATGGAAATTGTCTACCTGTCTAGACCAGGGGTCTCAGACTCAATTCCTTAATTGTGAGTTTTCTGGTTTGTTTTAATCATGTTCTTAGTTATGCATTTCAATTTTCTGCATAATTTTAATAGTCTGAAATAGTCAGTCTTTGAGATGATTTACAGTGGTATGTACCTTTTAATTGTTAATATTTAATGTTTTTTGTATTATACATAAAAATAGATAAAAAATCAACAATCTGAGGAAAAAATCAGATGTGTGTATTTTACGCAGGTTAATTGCTTGAGTACTCAGGTTATAACAATAACCAGAGGAGATGAAGCCCTCCAAGAGCTAGGTTTTAGACCCCTGACCTTAACAGTTGGGGAAAAAAATGGAGGGATATTATGTTTTAGCAGTGTTTACTAGTAAGATCTCATTTAAAATATCATAAAGTTCCAGTCTTCCTGTTTAATAAGTATTGCAGTTCTCATTTCAGACCAGGGCAGGATAGCCAGATATGTCTGGACTCAAAGGAATTTACTGCACTGCACTGACAAAATAACTAGAATAATGTAAATAACTGAGGGTACTTGACTCAGACATTCATAATTCTCAAAGGAACTGACAGTATGAATTCATTGAACTGAACATTGAACATTGAATTGTATATCAAAAATCCACTTTGATATACAAACCAGACAACACTATAGTAAAAACTATAGGACAACATTACAAATGTAGAACAGCAAGCACTACTTAACACAAACAGTTGTGGGAGTCTGGAACAAGCTATCCAGCCAAGTTGAGTTGGGTTTTCATGTATTTGAGTATAAATAATTGCTTTGAATTATCATAGTTGGAGGTGCTTTGAAGATGGGGGGGGGGGTGACTTTTAATGGTACTGTGAAGTTTGTATGTGACCATTTCCACAGTGCTGTGAAATTTTAAGTCAACGTGTATACCAAGCACTGTGCACCTGGTATTTTATGAAATCTCTGAGCTTGCTTCATATCCTAAGGAACAATACTACTCAATCGACAAATATGTCCATCACCATTTAAGACACACACTTAATGTTCTTAAGTTCACACACTCTAATGAGTCTTGTCATTGTGCATAAGTATAGCACTTTTTAATGTTTGCATTTTCAGGAGGTCGCTTACAGAACTACTGTTTTCAAGACCAGTGTGTTGGATGAGCAGGAGAATGAGGAGGAAGAGGAAGGGATTGAAGTCGGCGAAGAAGACCTCTTTCACCAACAGGTAGGCTCTTTAATATAATGTTCCTGAAATTGCTTCTGTTGTGCTGTCTGATCTAAAAGGCTCCAGTTCAGGTGCTTAAAATATTATCTTACACATTACTTCAGTTAGCCTGGTTATCAATACATTAAAGTTTGAAGTTATAAAACAAGTTTTAAGGTTTATGATTGCCAAGAGCTGCATCAGCAGTGTTTTATTTTTTTTCATAAACATAATATGCGAATATGGATTGTTTCTTTTAAAATGTTCTGGGAACTTGTTTCCTTATAGTAAGAAGGATTAATTTTAACATTTTTGGAAAACAGCCATATTTTGACTATAATTGAAAGCAAATATTTGGTTTCCTTTTCTCTTGTAGGGAGATCCACGAGCCTCCAACAGGAGCTGTTTGATTATGTAAACTTCTACACAACATTTCTGTATCAAATCTATTTTTTCTGCTGCCAACAGACCTTCAACAGAAGAAAACTATTTTTGTATCTTAGTTTTTAATAGACCCTTTTTAATTTTATTTACAGTTCAATATATGGGAGTGTTGGTAAGCCATCTGGTACATTCTTTTCTGTTTAATGTGAATCTTGTTAAATGTCACAACTGGACATTTGTAAAAGCAAGAACCTTTTTTTAAAAAAATGATGAATACTATTTTTGTAGACTAGTCAAATTGTACCTGAGGTCTGTGATGACTAGGCAGCTTGCAGAATACAAACAAGTCACTCTTTGTCAAGGTGCTGTGAAAACAATTTCATTTACTTTTTTTACTGTATATTGTGATTTTTTTAAAAATATTTTAAAGGCTCTTCCTTACTGAAAATGTCTGGGGAAGATGGTTATTAAAACTGGTTTTAGTGTGGTATTTCAGCAGTCAGATGTTAGATAAGCAGTTGCTTTTTTGGAATGTAGATATTAGGCATTTACTTGTGAATCAAACTATTTAAAATTTGAAGTCTTTGTTTTCATAGAATTAATAAAAGGGTTTTCTTCCTGGTAAGAGTCATTTGATTTGATTTCATGGAATGCCTTTCGAACTATACCATTATAACAAGTTAGTTTGAGGTATTCAGAATTTGGAAGATAGATCATGTCCTCATGTGGTGTTTGTCAGTCTGAAGATTCTGTGCAAGACCACAAGAGGTCAGAGTGGATATGGGAGTTCAGTCACAATGATTATGCATGTGTGTCCATGTGACCTGGACAGTTAAGTGCAAATACTAATCCTAGACCAACAGTGTGTGCCACATTGGGCAAAGGGCAGAAATCAACAGATAACTTTGCATCTGCTTATGTAATAGCTGACAACAGCTCAGTGTCAGATTAATTTAGTAATTTACTCTTGTATTTTTGATCCAATGTCAATTGACATCTTTTGGTTACCTATTAAAATAAAGCAATTCTTAGCAATTAACTGGTGAATTAGATGATGTCTTTATCTTGGGCAACTTCTTACTGACATGAATTACTGAAATGTAGAACCATTTAAGAAAACGTTTATTCCATGAAAAGAGAAGAAAAGAAATGCGTTTCGGCTGTGGAGCCTTCTTTGAGGTGTGTGTTCACACCCCTTGACTCCTTGTGGTCTTGTATCTTTGGGCGTTCACAGCCGAAATGTTTTTCTTTTCACCATATAATAAATATTTTCTTAAACGGTTCTACTGTACATGTCAGTAATTCATTTGTGTGCACATTGCCTTAGATAGACATCTGAATCACTAGTTGATTGCTAAGAATTTACTTGTTCCTTTGTAGCCTACGCATGCTGATGCAACTACAGTACCTACTTCAGCCATTTAAGAAAATTTCCTAATGCAACAGTTCAGTATATAATTGAAAAACATTTCAAGCTACATTGCAGAAACTGGAAGGAAATTGCCTCAGTTTTAGTGGACACCTTGATGAACGGCAATAAATAATGCTTTCTTTTACTGAATGGAAGTATTAGAGAGTGTAATTCTAAACCACCATGAGAGCAGGTATTTGGGCCCAGTTTCAAGAATAGTGACATGCTTTTGATTTGCTGTCTGGTTTCTGTACATAGCCCTTATTCAACAATTCTACCTGTCTAATCATCCCATTTATACAGTAAGGCATAGATGAGGAAAAATTAAGTTCTGAACTTTAAGCAGTATTCCTATGCATTTTGTGTACAAGGGATATATATATAATTGTTGCACTTCAGGAATGAAGAGATGTGTTAAGGTACAAAACATTTAGGTTCCTGTTCTTTACAAAAACTGGCTTAAAGTTGCTATACGTCAATGTAAGCTTCTCCCAGTATATCCTGTTTTTAACTGATGCTCCTGCATTTGTTTGAAAAGCGCTATCCCTTGTACCACCTTCTGGCAGTTAACTAAAATAGCAGTGGATTTAACCAAGGGTTAAACAAATCAATGGCAACTGAATACAATGATAAAATATTTTGGTAGTGTGCATCATATAGTTATGCTGCTTGATTTGTAGAATAGCTTCCAAGGATGTGTTATAATACAAACTGATGGTAGGCCTATACCAGAATTTGTATGAAACAAGTTAATAGTTAAGTGCTGTGTGCCATTACCTGTGGAGTAGAATTTAGAATCCAATCAAAGAGCAAACCCACCTTGATGTGTACTCACACTAGCTTAAAATGATTTAGAATCAAACATTTGATTGCTAGGGAACAAGTAAAGTTGTCACACCTGAAGAGGGACTCCACAGCTGAAACGTTTATTCCATGCTAGAAAGAGGGGAAAAAAAACGCATTTACTGAACTTGTTCCTTTGCAGCCTATGCATGCTGACGCAGCTACCTAAATGATTGCTAGTGTATTTTTATTGAATAAACTGAAATGGCTGTCTTTATTGAGGCTTCTTTGGTGTCCATTAAGCTCTCTGGGGGGAAAAAGAGGGGGCTGATCAGTTGAAAGGCTAAAATGCATTAAACAAGGTGTGTGTATATATAGAAATGTTGAAATGTCTTAATTTAAACCAGATTATGCCAGATAATCATTGAAATAGCGGAAGAAACACATTTTCACTTATCAAGGTTACAGTTTCCATGCTAAAAGCAGAACTTGTTCAGCAGTTATAGGGGCAATTATGTCACCAGATACAAATGATGTTCAGGATCACCTTTTCTTCCAGTATTTTCATATTTAGTGTAGTCATACAGTTTATAGTCAGTGACTTTTTCTCATGGCAGTTATTTTAGGTTTATTGTTCAATAAATTGAATGTAATCAAGTATAAATGAATGTTTTTATTTCATGCATTTTGAAATCAAATCTGTCATAACCTTTTTCAGGTGCAGCTCTTACTTTATATAGAAGAGATGTCTGTTCACGAGTTCTGAAAATTGCTTTGCTGTCCTTTTCAGTAGCCACACTCTTGAACTTTGTGTTGATTTAAATCAATTGCAGTAACTTAGTCTTGCAGTACTTGAAGTAAAATGAAGCAGGGAATGTTTGGGGGGGGAGCTAATTTTAGAGTTATGTCTTTGGAAGCAGGGTTCTTATTTTTTTTATTATTCTATGGTCATTTTTAAGGTTGCAGAGCATTGTATTTTAATTATGAAAGGGTTGAAGAAATTGTCAGTGTAGAAATAGTATGCTGGCAAGTGTTGTGTTGGCTAACCTTAACTTCATTGAGACTGTTGATACTATGTAATTCAGTGAATGAGATGGACAGGATGAAGACTTTCTCTTGTGGTAAAAGCTTTTGCTTTTGGCTCCTACCAGAAGGTATCTTTTGCATCATAATTCATCCATTTCCCCTATGTGGGCTCTTTTGTAGGGTGAACCTTGACCCTTTGTGCATCTGCTGATCTGCAGTTTTCGTGTGTTTTCTGTCAGTTTCTAAAGCCCTGAGAGGCATTGATACTCAAATGCATCCTGAGAACCCAATAAAAGTTTGAATGTCTCCATAAAACATGAACTCGGGCATAATTAAAAAGATCAACACTGGAATTTTATTGTAATTAAAAGTTTACACTGCACTATTCTACAAAATTGCATAAAAACTGCAATAGGTTGTATCATACAGACAAATGCTGAGATACAATAATCTGAGTCATTCTCTTTTAAGAGGTACAGTGTGTAACACAGCAAACAGGAAAATAGCAAGCAATTCAATTTACACACAGATGAAAAATGGCACATTGCAAACTGTCACCATTACAACCTGTTAGAATCTTAAGTGTTTTTCAAAGGTTATTCAGTTTCAAGTAACTCCTGTATTTGTGCCTTAAAAGGGATGGACAGTCCAATACATGAGAAGACATTGCTGCTGCACAACAAATATGTACCCTATAGTAGTATGTGACTTTTGTTTTACTTTCAAATTAACCATTTTTAAATAGGAATGTATTACCTGTCAGACTAGCTTATAAAGGGTTAGTACATTAGTAAGGCATTTAGCAATTAGGTCCTGTTAATTTTATTATACTACCAGTCCTCTGCCCACTGGATTAATATTAAACTTGCCCCCAGTATACTACATTTCCTGTTATCCCTGTAATGTGACAAAAACGGAGATGACAAACCAAGAACCACTGCTTCTCAATGTGTTGTACAATGGTAAGCAAAATAGATGACAGTAATGTAACTAGGGATATGATGACTATTTATCCTTTAATCACTTGATGTTTTACTCTAGACAACTAGGTATGTCTTCTATTTTGTCTATATTAGCTATGTGAGAGTGAGGAGATCTGCCATATGTACAGTAGATGGTGTTATATTTACAGAAGTTCTAAAGTAGTCACATGAAGGCTTTATAGTGGTCACAAGAGCACTTTTGTTTTAGATGAGTGTCCTCAGCAGGGAATTGTATTTATTGTAAGAAGAATGATTTACAGTAAGTTGATGTACTCACAAACGTATTACAAAGATTCCTAGGGTACACCTAAAATCTTTTAAAATTTTAGAACAGACCAATTACATGTAAATCCTTTTGAAACCTTACTTTCTAAACATATCTAGCTGTTTTTCCTTTTAATGGCTTCAGTATTTTATTAAAATAAATTAACCTTTAATGAAAAAGACAGGCTTATCACACTCAAGCAAATTGTTTTCTTGTTTGGGTTGAAAAATTAGATTTTACCAAGTCTGAAAAACTCCTTTTGAATGTATCTATATTTATATCTCACTAGAAATGTACTGTTTTATCATAACTACATTGCACTGTCCTATTACAATTGCTCATTCATTTATCATAGGTCAGATATTGGATTTAAGACCAATACTGATTGCAACTAAGGTATAAACTTCTACGGTAGAACATGCAGAGTTACATGAATGATTTCCATCTTTTTCAGCTTACTGCCTGTAACCGGTGTGGTTAAAACAGGGCATCAAGCCCATTGCTAGTTGGGTTTGACTGAAGTTATAAGCTTGTTTAAATAAGTGGAAAGTTTCCTTCCCTTTCCTCAAAAAAGGAAATGCTATGCACACTATTTATAGAATACCAGCATCTGAAATGAAATTGAAATCAAATGGTTGTGTAAATGCCAAAACCACTAAAATGATGCAGTCTTGACTTGGTATAGAAGGGGGTGGAGATATAAAAGTTTTGTGTGCTGGATTTCTAGAATGTTCTCACAGATACTTTTAATTGAATAAAAATAACATTTAAGTCTCCCTCTGTAATTTTCTACAATCCTCTCTGTTTACATTTGCAGTACCAAAATATCTATTCAGCTGTGCTTGAATAGACTTATTTTTTGGTGGATAAACAAATTAAATCTGGCACTTTTGCGGTTACTCCTTGAGGAGAGCGAACCTTAATTGCAGTAGGATTACAGGGTTACATTTTGATCTCTAAAGGTGACAACACAACATCTACTGTAACTTTCATATGTTCCTAAAACTAACAATCTCTGCAGTCACCAATATATCACCTCACAGTGATGAATGCATGAGGCACATTTTAATAATTCCATACTAAGGAATAAATAGATCTTGGTAACCTTTTACATAGCACAGAAACAAGATTTTTGTTCATTTGTTTCCCTTGTGGTGGCATAGTGATGATAAATTCTTTTGGAGTTTCATCTTGAATTGTACATAAACAGAGGAACATGCCAAACTGTCACATCAGAAGAGCCCTAACTCCAGGAGATTTTCAAAGCAGAGGCTTTTCTTCCATCCTGAAAAATGCATGCATGTCCCTGGGGTGTAGCTCCAGACATTTAGCAATGATCAACTATTTAACTGTACAGTGGTCATCTTTTATAGAGAAGGCAAAAAACCTTCAGTGTAAGTAGGAAGTACTATACCTCAACTTTCATCCATGCCACTTATCAACAAGAGACTTTTGAGTTAACTTGAACTATGGTCATTTTTCACCTTTACAATACATATATTTACACTCCATACTTAAGACGGGCACCAGCTTATAATGATGAAAAAGAAATAAGGAATCGGGTGGTTTTTAAAAGTGTCACAATTAAACACATGCTTTACGAAGGTTCAAGCAATGTAAACAATTTTGAGCAGTATGTAAGACTCCAAACATCTGGCTATAATACCATATTTTGCTTGCTATGCTATTCAAAGTCAAGATAATTAATGTTTCGTGAATATGAATTATTCACAAAATAGTAGTGTACAAGACACACTGCACAGTCACCTTTGACCATAAACTTTTACAATCCTGAAAAGTATCACATCAGATCATAGATCAAAAAGAACTACCAATTATCTTCCTACATTTAGTGATGCAAGCTTGTCCTCTAGTCACAGAAACAGAACACTGGGACAGGGCCCCTCTACTCTTAAGCAGTAGTTATGAACTACAATTCTGTAATTTTTCAGGGGATAAATAACCAGGACGAGGCAGGGTCTAATGGTTTAAGATTAAAATATTGTGCACATGTTAATTTTCAGAAGGCCTTCACTAACAATGACTATTTTACAGCTGCCCTTTAGCTCTTTACCAAGTGTACAAAAAGTTGCAGACATTATGAATTTCATTTGGCTGTACGTGAAGTCCAAAACTAATTAAATAAACAGTTAGCCTTTTAACTTAAATATGGCTTTTGTAGCTAATAAAAGTAAAAACGAAAACAGAATTCTGTCAAATACAATGGGAAAGTTCAAAATTGTTTCAGAATATCAATAGATAGGGGTGAGTATTTAAATGTACTGTAATAGATTTTTAGATACATTTTAATAGATATTTTTTCCATCAGTGTTAGAAATTCAATGTTAACAGTTCAACAAGTTTGCCTGTCTTATACCATCCACAATAGAAGGTTGCTCTGAAAAGCATCCAACTTTCACTATTACCATATATCTTATGCAAAAAAAGAAATTCTATAATAGATTTAACAAGGTGGACCCATAAAATACTCCAACTAATATATATATATAAAGGCAAATAAAATATTTCTTGTTAAATCCTCAAAAATAGTTATGATTCTTTATTCACATTCACATCATTCATTAGCTGTATTTAAAAAAAAACATTTAAATGAAGTAAAAAGAAAACTTTTAAATGAGTTGTTTATAAAAATCCCAGCAACAAGGAAAGAAAATTGTAAATTAGTAATAAAGATGAAATTAATATTTGTCTGCCTCTGAGTCTTAACATCACTGTTAAGATGCAGGAAGCTGTAAAAGGCATTTGAAGGCAAAAAATATTTTTTTTACCATCCTTTCAAGTGTAGTGAAATGGTATTTCACAACAGACATGCAACATTCCGGGTTGCATTTCTGATTCTATCTGCTCATGGAAAGACAATGTCTTGATTTGCTCTATAGACAAAACTATTATTTTAAATAAGTGACAATTTAACTTCATTGTAATGAGCTGTAGACAGTTAAGAAATAGTCATTTTGTACACAAAGAACTGTACGGTACACATATATCCTGCTTGTAGAATCAGTCGATAGTAATCTTTGCGAAATGTAAAAATAAGACCGTTTTGCCATTCCAACAGAATAGTATCCAATGAGAAACCATGATTTTGAGAACAAAAATCTTTGGATGGAATTAGTCATGATCCCTTGTCCAGCACGGAGACACAGCTCAAACAATTGTCTCTTTAGAATTGCGTTTGATGGGAGGAAGGCCAAGCAGAGACTGCTGTGTTGAAGGAACACTAGAGGACTTTGGGAGAAGAAGTATGACTCTTTGATTGGTCCTACGCCACTCGTTATACAGTCTACAGTGGTACCTAAAAGAAACCTGTAAACGAAAAAGACAATGAGGTTTTAAAAACATGGTTGAAATAGAGCCTTGCATTATGTGCTTTACTGTAGGTGTAGAACATTTAGATATGATATTTACTATATTCACATCATTTCTGAGTAAACTATGAAACGGAGGACACTAGTGGAAACGATCCGGAACTGCACTTAAAACTGAGAAGAGGAGGCACACAAGGGGTTGTGGGAGTATGAAACAAACTACCCAGACATGCTCTTGAAGCTGATACCTTGGTGTCTTTCAAGAAACAGCTGGATAAAATCCTTGGTAAAGTAAGTTCCTACCTACCAATATTAACCAACCAACCACTAATCACTGGCTAGTGAATGACCTCTTCTTGTTTGTTACTATTCTTATGATTACTAAACTACTATTAACATGCTTCAATGAATAACTAAATATATACATTTTAATGTGTATATCTGTTTGGAATGTCCTTCTCATTTGAATTACCTCTCAGTGCTTCAACCCAGCATTTTAGAGTTGATTGCTATCAGGAGGCTGATGGTCTCTAAATGCACTTATGCTACAATATCTGCTTTTTATCTATCAAATCTAGGTAAGAGACATTGCCAAGCAACTGAATACAGGAAGACAGGGGCCTTTCAACTTAGCCCGTCTTTTTCCCCAAACCTACTGTACTCACTTTCAACACCTTTCACTACCTAATCCTTCCATGACATTCTTTAAAACTATATTTCCATTTCATCCCATTTAATTTGATTTTTCATGGGACCTTTGTCTAATGGTATTAAGGTTTCGTATTGTGGTGCTATTAGAGATGTCCTTTTGCTGCTACCCATAAAATGCATTACACTGATCAATATGTGTTCATCGCTGATATTTCATAATGTGCTGTAGCATACTCACTAGTGTCCAAAAGAGGTAAATAGTAAATAGTGCAACAGTCAGTGCAATTAGTCCCACAGCCTCCAGCCTGCTGCTAAAGTGCAGATGGTCCACAGCTCCACGCAAACACAGCCAGCCGGAGATAGTGGCCAAGGGGGTGATGAAGAAGAAGCACACCATGTCTCCAAACAATGTCCTCTTCTCATGCTGTGGGCCAGGGTTCCTTAACCACTAAGAGAAGAAAAAAAAAACATATCTTGCCTTCAAAATTCACCTTTGTTTCTGAAAGAGTCTTTACTCTTTTTACCAGAGTAAAAAAAAAGTAAAAAAGGTAAAAGAAAGAGGCTAACAAATACATTGTCTGATTTAGATTGACTTTGCACAGAACAGTTTTATCACCGCAGCAATGTGGTATGTAAACAACCACATTGCTGTAGTGGTTATAGTACAGTCGCTCAGTCTATGCTTTTATCCAGTTTCCTGCATGCCAAATCACAGTACATTTTTCACAGATGAGTGTTAGTCATAACATGACCCCATTAGTGCTGATTGATGTGAGACTGCTTATAATCTTTTGCACTATAATGGCTCTGCACATAAGGGCTATATCAGGCATAATGAACAGACAGATGACCCCATATAATCTATTTAATAAACTCATTAACAACAGCAAAACAACCTTATTTTAGAGACGTATCATCAGGCTTATATTCTTGTATGAATTCTCGTTTATTAATGTTTGGATGATAAAGTTGTATTATCACTTAAAATTAAGTGACTTTCACTGGGTCCCATTTCCATATTTTAGGTGAAACATTACATACTTACAAAAAGAGGTTTCATTGCATATAGCCCAGACATAAGAGCTGTTCATAACTGAGCCACAAGCAGTACTGCCTTAGATAAACTGCTAAAATTTTACACAAAGCCTAGACCCCTGACAAGAAGGAAAATGGGAAAATGGTCTTTAAACTTCATAAAGACACTTTGATAGTCAATACAAACAGTATAGCTGCAATAATTGAAAAAAAATTCCAAAAACAGAATCAGACTGTGTAATTAATTATATCTCACTTTTTTTAGGACGAACGCTAATGTAATAGAAATATGATACTCAGCTTTGGGTTCCATTGTAGGCTCTGTTAGTACAATTAGTAGCACCTGGAAGTTCCTTAATTGTCTTAATTTAATTTAGAAAAGGAAGCAGTCAAGGTCATAGTCACAGTAAGAATTATGTTATTGACTTCATCAAAGACAGAGGACCTCTGTTTATATATAGACCATACGTTCCTTTAAGGTGCTAATTATTTTTAATGATTAGTTCTCAACAAGAGAAATGCTCACCTGAATGATTTATAATTATGGTCTAAAAGTAAAATATATATATATATTTAAGATTTTCAAAATTGCCTTATCATTTTCATCAATTGACCTGTTGTAAAAAAAAAGGAGAGTAAAATATTTAAAAAGGAATTTAGAAGTATTGCAATACAGACATTTTTGGGTTCATATAGATTAGCAGTGATCTGTGATGAACACTGATCAAAATCTTTAGGATACAGTAAATTACAGAAAAACAAAAACATGTTAAAACATTCTCTCACAGACTCTAGGTCCTTCTGACTCCTGTTGTCCTAATTTATTTGTAGCCTTGGCTTGGGCTCACTGCTGTTCTACGAGTCTAATTTTTCTATATTGTATACCTCTATAGAAAGACAAATTCCAGCTAACTCACAAATAAACTATAAGACAAATGTGGCTCACAAACTTAATTTGCAACTGAAAGAGGAAAAATTTAACATTTTGGCTGCAAAATGTTTTTCAGGTGATTCAAGATGGCTCCACAAATATACTGTTGTTTAGCACAAGGTGGTTTGTCTGCAAACGCAAATAAACTGATTCAAAGTAAAATACATGAACATGTTTCATGTTGAAAATCATAAGCATAATTATGCAGCTTCTGAATTGTGATATGATGTGTGATTGAGAAGTAAGCTACAGTATAAATAAGAAGAAATACACATTTTGTACACATACACAGTCTGTCATAGCCAGAAGACTGATCCTAAAATGATCTCCCTGAAGCTTGATACATTCATTATCATTTTTGGAATCAATACCACTTCCACTAAGCAAAACATATTTTCACCACATTAAGACTTTACACCGTGTCGCTGAACATGGAAACTGGAAAAATTGCTCTTTATAAAGAGTGAGATTTCTTTTTATGTCCTTATGATACCCTGATACATTGGAGAACAGTTCACTCTGAAAACCACTCCTTCATATGGTTACTGAATTACAAGTTTTTAAAGTTAATCTTAAAGCAGATCCACCTGAAATGGAAGATGTGGAGTTGAAAATGTATAAAAAACGTGAATGCCAGTATATATAGCTATATTTTTTGGTGACTTTACAGTTAAAGATAGATAATCGGGGTATTTTCATTTATTTTCACACTAAATGTTTGAAATGTTTGTAAATTACTCCCCTTAACTGAGTTTTTAAAACAAATCCTTGAGGCGATGTGCACATTTAATTAAACAAACTCTCAAGCAATGAAATGTGCACAGTACGTTATACCTATCATATAATACAAAATCAATTAGAAACTTCTTTCCCTGTAGCACTGCTGTAATCCTGGGTGGTAAAAATGTTTTTTGGAGAGTATTTATTTATAAAACTAGTAATAGATTTTCCTAGTAGGAAAAGGCAGACAGATATTTAATAAATATTAAGAAGTATTAACAAGTAATTTAACAACCCTGAACAAGGACACAATCTATTTCGCATACTCTTTTAGAAAATAATCCTTCAACTGATATAGATTAAGGCAATTAATTATTAGTCGTAAGTGAGAGATAAAAATCTTCAATGAAATTTCAAAATAAGGCCAACAGAACATATTGTGATTTACGAATCCATTCAGAGATTTTTAATTAAGATCTTATCTCACCTACATGATTCCTCACTTTATACCATTCTGAACCTTTTGCTCTCCCAGCTTCTTATAAGACAAATAAATGTATACACCTTAGATACTGATGTACAAAAGAGTTAACATTTTATCACCACACAGACAGGTCTATGTGAGTAAACTGCACTGGTAGTACAGCAAGTCTAGTAGTTCTCATTTATATAACCTTGAAGTTGTGAAGTTGCCTGAAGGCAGTGGTCCAGGACCCAAAAGAGAAACTGCATGTGAGAAGACTGATGACCTAAAAGCCTGGCAGGACAGGAAAAACACAGCGTAGGGATCCAGGACAGTCAAGAAAACCCAGAATGTGTGATTCTGCAGGTCATAAGTAAAAGTAAAGTTGAATCTGTGTTACTGGTCTGCACACAATAGGAGCTTTGTAGAAACAGCAGGCAGAGGTATCTGCCAACATGTGCACGGTATTAACCAGCTTTAGCAATATGCAAATATTACAAGTTGAAACACATGAATAGATTCCATATTTTATTGTAGAATTTTGTATAATTCTAGGATGATGTGATCATACATCTGTGGTGAGTGTGAAAAAAAACAGGATGCGTTTGTATTTTTTGCAGTGAACTGGATACTGTTAGACTTAATATCATACGTAAGACTTAATATCATAGTTATTACTGGCATTCTGGTCCAACAGCAGTTCTCATGAAACTGAAAGCCCTCAATAAGGATGTGTGCTATGCTATCAGATATTAATTTATAAAGCGACTTTCCAAGGATGCTGAAAAGAAGCATGTGTGACCACTTATAGTACACCTTAAAAGTACATTGCTCTAAAAAGGTGTATAAAATATAAATTTCCCTTGCACTTCCTGATGAGCATTCCTTCCATACATACTATATTCATGTTACACCTTAACCCCTTCAAGCAACAATTTACATTATTTTTATTTTTAGCAAGGTACATTCATTTTAAGTCCATAACTTGAACCTGTACCCCAAAAGAACCTTCTCAACAGACTTTATGCATCGATATGGTATATCTCATGGGTGGGCTGAATCTGGCTAACCACAAGAGTCTGCTAAACTTCCCAGCCTGCAATTGGATCAGAGTAACACAGCATGCTATGCAGAGAGCATACGTAATCAGATGAACCATGGAGTGTCGCAGAGATTGGGATTCATACTGAAGACCAAATTCTATACCACTTTAGCCAAATAAAGAGGTCCCGAATGGTTAATCTTTTTTTTTTACTTTTGCTTGTACATAAGACATTAGTGTATTTCCATTCCTACACTGGATGCTAAATCAAAGTAGCCAAGATTAGGTCATTTTCAATGACTTTTTAAGGAGAGTTGAGTTCAGATTACAAAAACCAAAAGTTCATTTTATATCTCTGTTTGTCCTAATGTTTCTGTCTAATTTGACTCAGTTTTGACTCTTGTCCTCTGTATGTTCTAGAAGCTCCAGATTTATTGGCAGTCATTTAGGGCAGGTGGCATCTGCCAGCGGTAATTGGAAATAAATTTCTAATGGTTCTCTCTGGAAGTGCGCCTGGTCATAAACTTTTGAAAATTGCCTTTTTCCTTTCCATGACCACTAAATTCATGAGACCCACTGTTCCCTGCCTTCTGCAGCTAATCTTTTTCTGATTTTGGATTTATGCAGCCTTCAAAATTCTGTACTTTTTTATACTTCCAGGTGAAGTTTATCCAATCTGAGATCAATATTTATCTTTATGCAACTTAACTTTTTATTCAGTGCTTTTTTTTAATTGAAGGGAACCTTTTTTTCTCTCTGGGATCAAATTTCCCTACAGTGCTTAATTCTATAGCAAAGTCAGCTTGTCTACTAAAAGGCGCAAGAAAAAAAGCTGCACTGACAGTAAACACACTGTTCAATGATTAATTTTCATTTACATGCTTCATTGATTAATTGACAATTATGTCATTGTGTGATAACATTTGGGAGGGGGGCATTTTCATCATCTGAAGAAGACACTTTTTGGGACAAAATGTTGTTTTAAATATGATAAAAAATTGAGTGTGTACAAACATCTTCTGTTGATGATGTTGAGTGAAAAAGCAACTTTAATATCTCAGATGTAATAGTAAATAAGTAGAACATAAAGTAATTTGTTTTTTTCTGTTCACCTAAGACAGAGTTGGACTCTTCAAACTTACTCTGTGTGGTTTAATGTTATACTGTACATACAGTATAAACAGAAACACAGAATCATTTACAATTATCTCTGGATTGGCAAATGCTAAAATTAATTCTGAAAGCACTGTTCCAGTATATACAAATGTCAACATGTTTTATAATTCCATCCTCTGCTCTCTACAGCAGCATATGTCAAGATATAATCGCCTTATAATGCATTTATTCATCCATTTGTATCGCAAAATGAGTCACACAGATCCTGGACAATGCATTAAGCTCAGTAATTTGAAAGACAACAGACTATGTGGCTTTCAATTTCAAAACTGAAAATTAAAAGAATTTTAGTCTTTTAAATCTGGAATTGTACATAGTCTCCAACCTCAATTAGGAACCACGAGAATCACCCCAATTTGGAATTAGTGGGTTTAAAACCCATTCAGACCTGGGGTCCATTATAATGGATATCACATGTTGGAGTGTTGTTTTTCTCATTTTACAGCACATTGCATTACTGAGCTCTGCCTTCACACACAATTTGGGACTGAGATCACTGAGACTGGGGTAAATGTATAAACACCACCACTCATACCAGCGTGGGAGGATAAGGATATACAGTAGCAAGGTTTGACATGGCAAATTCAGTTTTGAGCCATATGTACAGTATTGAGTGATGTGGTTTGTGTAAGCAGACTCAATTTGGGAAATTAAAGGACTGTACTGTATATCCGACATACAACAGGGTTTAACCTATGCTGTGATTAAGCACTTTCACTTGACGAATCACTAGAAAGATCCTATTGTATTATTTTTTTATACCGTAAGTGATGCATCCATCAGAATAGCACGTGCAGGATAATTCAGAAATCTCATGACTTTTCTCCTGACCAAAGGAAATCAGGTCTCAGTAAAAGATTAAAAGAAGCTCCGTAAGGCTGCCTTCTGAAAAATTGATGTTGAATACTTAATCTGCCAACGGGCAAAAGAACAGATCCTATGCCAGAAGGAGCTATGCTGATAAATATATAATTCACATTAAACAAATTAAAAAATAAAAGCCAAGTTATTAAAGAAACATAAAATAACATCCTTGAGCTCTTTCCTGGCAGAGGATAAGGATGATACATCACGGTATTGACATCTGTGAACTGGCATTTCTTCAGACAATAGAGAGTGAAAACAACCTTTTGTATAATAAGAGGTAAATGTTAACAGAATCAGGCTAGGAACTTTGGATTGTGTTTTAAAACATTTATACAGTTTGTTTGTCCTCTTTCTAAACCATCCATGAAAGTCTAGAGTTGTTTTCTTGCAATACTGTATTCTAAACTAAAGGGCAAAAGTTAATGATGTTTAATCCATTATCTAAATGAACACCAGACAGATCAAGGCTGATTTTGCACAAGATGTTTTTTGGAAATCAGGTGATTTTCATCCAGGGATCCAATCTTTTCCAAGTACCAAAAATAAAAAAAGATCTGTACTGTATATGAATACTCATCAGACATAATTGAGTCTGCATACAAAAACCATATCACTCAATACATTTGGTTCAAAACTGAATTTGCACTTTAAGCATACATCTACTAATCTGCCTATCCTTCCTTATGCTTTAAAAACCCTACCCATATATGTTATCAAAAGCTAACTGCACTAAATATGAAGAGACAACAACAGTGAAACCATGAAGAACAGACAAAATACATTTTAATCACCCAAATACTATATTAAGAAATAAAAAAGAGCATTATTGGGAATGACAGACATTCTTCCTGCATGCTTGTATTTTTTCCTTTTCACTATGGTTGTTTTAAAGACATAGATTGTGATTTGGTGTTTCCCAGCATAATGTTTAAAAATGTTATTTTCATGATGACCTGTACACAAGTGCTGTCAGATATGCACTGAGGAACTTCCCCATAAGCAGCCTTTCTTGTATTTCTGGATACAGTGAAGAACAGAAAATGTCCAAAAATATTTTTCAGTACATTTTCTCATTTCTAGTTATAGAAACCCAGCATCTCTATCACTGATGTGTACTGAACTTAGAATTTAAAATGAGGCTGATACCCATGTTTCTGAAAACAAATCTCATGCTAGTACATAAGGAGTTTGGACAGCTTAGTTGTGGGTGGAATTGAAATTATGTTTAGTACATCTGTAAGGTTTAATAAAGATGTTTGTTTTTTTTAAAGACATTTTTCTTTGTCTTGAACAATTGAAAATCAAAAACACACTGCATTCCCAGTTACAGTATAGTTACAGTAAAGTATAAGTAAAGTAACAATACATATATTAACAATACATATACTTAATGTTGGCATATAAGAGAAAATGACTGAACAAGTCCATAGACATGCTTAATGCACTATGAAATATACAGTAACAAATATGCCACACTGAGCCAGATTACAGAACACAATAGCGAGAGAGTTTATTGAGTATTTTTGGCAGCAATTATTCAATAAAATATTAAATTAATAGAAAATTAGCAGTTACTGTTTTTGAGTACTTTAGAATGTTCTATTATATTGTTATATTTAGACACAATGAGAATGAACAGATCGCAGGGGTTGTACAATGTAATTTGAGATGCTTCTGTCAAGAGGCCTTCAATCATGGCCAATAGTTCTGTAAATACAGGATATTATCATTGCTGGCAAAGGTGATTTCTAAGTGCACCCATAACACTTTGCCAAGAACAGCCAACCACCATTAAAGATTAGACATGTAAATGATTAGGTACATGTTACAGCACAGCCCTTTGACGTCCCCAGCTCTAAATTTAAATTACATGTTATTCTATACACAGCATATTCATTTCAAACTCTCTATACACTCCAAATCATACTATTGCCTCATCTTGAGTCAGAGAGGGATTGAGACTGATCTTTTAATTAATACGTGGGTTGGTTGCAATAACCTGTCACCCTACAATCAAATGGATTACTGCATGAGTTACTGTTAGTAGAGAGACTAAAGAAAAAAATGAAACGAGAGAACTTTGCAAAAGGGTTCATTCTGCTGTTGGATCTTAAGTTCAATTTTGCTTTAGGTGTTTTCTCCAAGTTTCATCTTACCCTCAAGACAAAATGAAAAACAAACAAACAATATCGCAGACAGTGCACTGATCAAACAGCCATTCTACTATTCTACTCTTCGATCAAACTGATTCACTCCAGGCAGGAAGGCGGTTACTTTTAACTTGCCCAATTATGATTAGCTTCCAAAACAAATGCCACATTCCATTTGTGCAAAGAACGGCTATGTCCTGCAAGCCCTTTGCTCACTCCACCTGCTTTATCCTTAGCCTTTGGCACGTGGTGATCTTAATGTCATTTCTCATCACAAAATCAAAACTGCTCAACTGATGTCAAAACAGATCAGAACAACGGGGACAGCTTCACCTGCTTCATGTTTCTGACTCTATTTTTGGTTCCACAGCATATTTCATTTTTATTATTATTATTATTATTAAGCAAGACCGTGGAGCATATACTGTAGAATTTTTGTGAACTGCTTTCAAGATAATTTTTTTTTTTAGTTTTCCATCAACATGTACAGTATTAGTTTGTTAATTCTGCAACTTACAACTTAATATATTACTGGCAGCTTCAGCCTGCTTGCTGATAGTGCACATTTATATTCGCCTTGTAAAAACTTGTATCAGTTCATGGATTACTTTTCTCTTAAAGTTTCTCTGGGCATGTTTCAAGAAACATCAGCAGCAGGGAATTAAGTGCTGCTCCATCACAATAGAAAACCAATTTTTCGTATGAACAGCCTATTAATCACCGCAATTAAGTCATAGCGGATAATACAAAAAAAACATTGTGTTGCAGGCAGCAAATTCTTTGAATGGCACATTAAAAACAAAACATTATTGGACCAACAAAACAAACACCATTTTTCAGGCTCATCTACTTGAATTAGTAGCTAACATTTTTGGAGCTGTTAATATCCGATTTGAGTTATGATATGTACATTTGGGTTCACATCTAGAAACACCACAAAGGCAGCTGCAGGTAAAATGTTATTTAAAAATATATCAACCGAGGAAAAACGAGCATTCCATTTATAATCCATCTTTAAGTTAAGCAGCTTGTGTAAAGCCTGTGTAAAGCCTCAAGCAGCCTCAAGCAGTGGAAGATTCACCCTTGCTTCTAAAGTCAAACAAATTGCATTCAATGGCTCAACCGGTCAGTAACTGGCAGCTTCCCCGCAAAACTGCAAACAAGCTGCACACGTCTGGGACGAGGGCTGGGCCGTGCTCCTTACCTCAAGGAGTGGCCTGGCTTTGCGCTCCACATTGAATTTGAAGTGGCAGAGCTCACAGAAACTCGTATTGGAGGCGGACAGCCAGTGCTCCAGGCAGCTGCGGTGGATGGTGCCCAGGGTTCCTGTACACTCGCAGGGCGAAAGCAGGTCCTCCTGCCCATTGCCTTCATGGCAGATCCTGCACATGGGCCGGTCATTGAAGGGGCTGAGTCAACAACAAGGAAACAGGCACATCACAATAAGGAGGTTGATGGACACACAGCACATTACCTAAACTCCTTTAAGTGTTTAATAGAGTGTTTGCTCTTAAACAACAATAATACAAAGGTTGTTAATGATAATAGGTTAAAGGTTACAGGGGTTAATCAAAGGATATAAAGGGAGGACAAATTTCACTATGATAGTATAAACAGGCTTTTGGGATTAAAAAATAAAAAAATAATTTCTGAAATTATCTTTTAATTCTCTGGCAAATGTAAATGTAATAATAAGGTTATTAAAAGTATTAAAATTATTTTAAAACTACAAATTATTCATCATTCTGTAACAAGTCTCCTGCACTTGAATTAATAATGTGGATACAAATGTTCTGTGTATATAATGCAGGTCACTAAGAAGCCGAAACTGAATGTATAGATTAAACTTGACATTTTTCATCAGAGGGAGATAATAAATTAATATAAAGTGGGAGTCATGGTAGAGAAATGGTAGCATTACTGCCTTGCAGTGCTAGGGCTCAGGGTTCAGTTCTGGACTTTGTGTGTTGTCTGCTTGGAGTTTGTATGTTCTCCCTGTGTTTGCATGGGTTTCATCTGGGCGTTCCAGTTCTGCCCACAGTCCAGAGACATACAGTATTGATAGGTTAATTGGCATCTGGGAAAAATTAGCCCTAGTGTGAGTGTGTGTCTGTGTGTGATGGACTGGAGGCCTGTTCAGGGTGCATCCTGCTTTGTGCTTGTTGCTTCCCTATTGGATGAAGAGGTTAAAAAATGGATTAATGCACTGTTCACATACTGTATAACACAATTTTTGCTTTTGATTTCAATCCACACTTCACATGAGATGCAAAGCGCGGATTTTATTAAAAGCATCACTTCAAATAACTTTCTCTACACAAAATACCCACTTTTGAATTTCCAAATCACATTAATACATTACATAGGGCTATCCAGAACCACAAAATCTACAGTATATGCAGCATACAAACCAGTTCTCTTGGATGTGCTTTAGACAGTGATGCAACTGACTTCTACTATCGAAATTAAAACGACCGTGCATTTAAAGAAGGAGTAAACTTTGGCAAAAAAAAATGAAAGTATAATTTGAAACTCCCGCTCAAGAAGACAGGACTAATGAAATGTCCATCAGACGAACACAGTAGTTCAGTGTAATTGTACCTCTACTTACATTGCAATTCCATTACTGAAGAGCAATTGACATTTTTGGCGGAGACATCCTGCTCTGTGCTGTGCTACTCAAGGCATCATTGACTGCCTTCATAGACAGCACACACAGCTGAGGAAGGACTGACTATAACTATAGTATTACAGTGAAAACTCAAGGTGTGACAGCTGTAAGTTAGATTGCAGCTGGTTTTGGACAGCTTGCACTACTGGGGATTCATTACATCTGAAAGTGAGGAAGGTCTCACTTCCACACTTGTAAGCACAAATGAAAATACACATCACAAGCTTCCATGATCATCTTTCCCACATCACGAGCTAAAAAGGGCATTTACACATTTTGTACCTTACAAGAATGTTGGTGTTAAACTCATTTTAATAATGAAAATGTCTGAGAGTTTGCATAGCTGTTATTGTAATGTATAACTGTGAGTAATGGATTTCTTTTTCATTGATCTCTATAGAAAACGACAACACAAACATTTGTATTTAGCAGAAAACAACAAACAACATTCTTTTTGTGTTTAAGAAAATATGAATCAAGAAGCACAGCATGACACATGTGCACATATGCAATCTGACAAAAGTTATACCACAAGCAGAGAAGCTGATATAGCACATATCAGCTTGATAGAGTTTGATGATAAAAATAATGTAAAAATAAAATCATCTTACTTTTATTTTAGATTAATCACTAAAATAATTTGCTATAAAATAATTATTCTACATTAAGTGTAAAAGGGAAAAGCATGCTATATTTGTAGAATTTCTCATTCAGAAAGGTTGACCCCCTGGAATTCAACAGTGCTTCTCATATTTAACTATAATCGCAAAAAATGCTGTCATCTGGATTTTTTTATCCTAATAGATATCTACACTTACAACACTGCTGAGATACACTATAAATTCCCAGGATTGCTGTTTGGTTTATTGAAACTTTTCACCTAACTACTTGGTTACACACGTTAATACAGTACTCAATGAAAAGTGTCTGAAAGAACTGCATACAAGCCTGCTTTACCCTTTACCTGTCTGGTAAGATCCTCACTAAGAATGATGAATGGTATTAGTGAACCCAAAGACACAGAGGCTAGAAGATCTACACCCCACCTCACCTGGTGAACATCCATTTATTACTCAGAACAGCCTCAACTGGTGCATAGTGTGATAAGCACAGACTGATTCATTATAGAAAAAAGAACAAAACGGATATCAGCAATAACACAACCGTGGTTTTTGCTTCCAAGAAATATCCCTAAATTCAGGTTTATGTACGTTCCGATGTGCAATGAATTAAGACTCAGTGTTCTGAGGTTCCTGCTGTGTTGCATGGAGAGATTGAAGGCCAGCTGACATCATGCCCTTCCAAAATGCCCGCTTGTCTGGGCCATTCATCTTTGGACATGTTGCAACAGAGCCTGACAGGAGAGTTAACACCGATTGGAGGAGACTCATCAATGTCTCTTCAAAGCCTACAGGCACCCAGCAATTTACAAGAGATCCTGTTGAACTGAAATCTGAGAGGACCCTGGCCAACTAACACCCTCATAACCCTGGTAGTCTGTAAATTGTGTGCCACTGCTTGGGGAATCCTGAAAACCATATATTTTATGAGATAGCACTTATTTTAATATAAAGAACAGGCTCACTTTAATGCCATGCAATCACATTTTAAGGCAAAATAGGCAAGACAGTCAGCAGTAGTAGGTCATAATTAGTGAAGTCACATGAAGTGCAGTCCTCCACCTTGCATCAGGGTTTTTTTTAGAAGGAAGAAAACCTTTCACTTGCAGCTGTTCGCAGGTTAGGAGCCAAACAGATGACTCAAAATGACCCACTCACTGAAGATCTGTAAGTTGACTTAACTCCATGCTCTCCCCTCCTACTGATCCTTAACACCAGCACAGAGAAACTAGTAATGACAGCCCTGGACAGGCTATATCAGCAGAAGCAATGATAACTTCTGACAGCTACACAGCCAGCCCACAGGAGAAAGGCAGTGACAGTCTGGGCCTGCTAAGCAGCTGCAGGCAGCTGTTATTTCTAAAGCCCCCTTTTGTCAGTGCTGCTTGGGAGGCGGAGAGGGCTTACACTTTGATCTCCAAAATAACCTTGTCAGTTACAAAAGCTCCCCTCATGCATATTAATTAAATAGCTAAATTTAGCCGTTACTTCATGGATTCAATTCAGTAAGCTTCTCATCCCTTATGCAACAGTCTTCACCCTGGCAAATTTCACTCTTCAGACCATTGTTTGAGCCTTTTACCTGCCTAGATCCAAATCATTAGCAAATAACCTAGTTTGTGGGCCAGAGGAATGGGTGAAATTCCTTTGCAATGAATAAGTCCTTCTTAATTTCAGAGAAACCCGAGTAATATTAGGCTACCTACTTCTCTCTCCTGTTTTAATATCACCCCCAGAAAACACTTTGTATCATCTTTATGAAAAATATGAATGTATTGAGGTCAAAATTCATTAGATAAAAATGAAGCCCAATTTGTTGCACAGTTGTTTTAATAAATGAGTTTAATGTTAACCACCTTGCCTTCAAGATTACACTAAACCCTAGAGTATCTGTTGCTGAGCCATGAGAATAAAGTATAATTTATGCAATTATACCAAATACTGATAGGTTCTATATCTCCCTAAATCAGAGGTTTTCCAGTTCTGATTCTTGCGACCCCCACATCTGTTGGGTTTTGCTCCAGCTGAGCTGTCAGTTAGATAATTAAACCCTTTATAGAATGAATACTGTGATTAATTTGAACTCTTTCACTGTTTCCAACTGTCAAGTCCCGGAGAGCTTCTTTTAACAATCCCATGTTGTAATTTGTGAGCAGATGAAAACCTCAGAAAGGTTCTACCAATTAAGCACATTATTAATTTGATTAAAGGTGAAATTAGTAACTTAAGGCTATGCTGGAACAAAAACCTGTATGTGTTTTGTTCCAGAGGAGAGAAAATATGAAGACTTGCTCTGCAGGAACTTAATTTGTTCTGTTTCTGCAGCTTAACAACAGTCCTGGACTAACATACACAACCTTTGCTCCTCTATTAAAAAGCCAGATGTTCACGTGACTCCTGCAGTTTAATGCATGAACGTTTTGTTGAATTTTATTTTCTGTCTGTTTACCTATTGTACCTAAAAATGGTTACCCGCAAATAATATTTTTATGTTCTTTACATGCACAATACTCTGTCAGTCTTCATTGTTGGGCTAAAAAAGCATATTCTTTAGTATAGTTTAAGGATGATTAGAGACATTCCTTCATTCCTGTGAAAGTAAAATGATATTCTTTCAAGTGTGAGTGACATCACTTTTTAAACTTTTTAATCCAAATCAAAATCCAAATTGACAAAAAATACTAATAGATAATAAGTCAAATTTGCCCAGAGAGTAAGATTATTACTCGCTCATTTTTTCCTTACACAGGTTTTACTGTTAGTGATAGGTGAAATCTCTGTGCCGGACGGATGACGAATGTGTTGGCGCACTTGAATTCTGTCAGAATAGAAGATAAGGCTAGTTCTCTCCCTCCTTTTTCAGTCACATCAGGCCTCCAGTATGTACAGTATGAAGACAGCACTTACGGCTAAGAACAAGCGGCACACTTTGGTGATCCCTTATAACTGTTAAAATCCCCCAACCACATTCCTACCTCTGGGTTGCGAGAGTCCTGACTACTGTTGACAGCAGCTGCCCGTCCTTTGCCGAAACTTGCATGACATAATGCGGCTGTCCATTCGCTAGGCTGTTGGAGTCTTCCACTGCCTTTCCTGGAGGGACTGAGTCTGTGCAGTCTGGCAGTACCTCAGGCAGATGACTGCAGCGGCTGGTTGTCATGGCAGCAGACAGCAATTACTCCGCTGAAGCCTTACACATTCATATAGCATTTCCCATCTGAGAAGACACATGAAGATGTAACATATATAATTATACACTGGATATTTAAGGATGAAACAGCAGTATACTGTACAAAACAACCTGGAATGCCCTAGAAAAGAGCAGAGATATTCAAATGTCCTGGTACAGAGCAGTAGTTAGTTCTAGCTGCTGTCGTAATTTGTAGGTTTTACCTCTGCACTGTTGGTCATTGTTGGTATGATGGTAACAAATTAGTTTGAATTACTGTATATACAATCTTTCACATTTTAACTACAGTATTCTCCGTTAATAAATACACAATCAAGATTAACAACTGCTAATTTGTGGTCACTATGAATTCCAGTGGACTGTAACTAGATTAGGGATATTTTTTTAAAATAACAAATCTACACCTTATTGTTAAATTATGAATACATTTAAAATAATTCAAATCTGGTAAGCCTTTTCCTCTGTTCAAATGTTATCTGGCTTATAACATTTAATATCTGGTTTGTCAGACTATAAATGCAAAGGTTACTTCCTTCATGTTGTATTATTAAACAAAGTGAAAGTTCAGCCTTTGTAAAAAAACAAACATTAAAACATTCATACAGAACAATTCACTCACAAACAACAGCTTGCTTCAGAAAAACAACTTGAAGGTAAAAAGCTATGATGCTGTGACTTGTAAAGTATGACAATGCAGAAAACGGGTGCTTATTAATGTAATGCTCAAACAGAAGGGCCCTACATAACAGCGAAAGGACTGAAGGCAACATTTGGATGAGAATGAATCCATTGTAATGAAAAATAAAGTACACGGAGAAAGCAGAAAGATTGATTTTAGTTTCTTATAGATTTATGGCTCCGTTCCCATAAGAAATTCATGTATTCCCTCGAGAACCCAATTAACCCTTTAAAAATGGTTGTGACTGGGCCATGAATTCGGAATCTTTTCTGTATTTCAGCATGACGCGGACACAGTATTCATTGTAGCAGAGAAAGTATTTAGTAACTGAGCTCTATCACAGCTACTTTGACATAAATAAGAAGTGATTTGGGGAACAAATGTCTAATATTATGTACACTAAAAAACACAGTCCATTTCAAAAGTTTTTACAATATTTACATCACACATTTTAGGGGTATATTTCTATGCAAAACTGGATATCATGGCCTGGTACTTACACAGAAAAAGAACAGAAAGTCACTCTTTCCTTAAGTTAATTAGATATATGATTTATCTCATGCATAAGTAGTTGGAGATTCGATCTTTTGAACGTTTTAACCTACAGTAGAATATTACAATTGTGACAATGTTCTAAACAAATAACATTGCATATCAAATTATAGGTACAGTGGATAAATCCATCTTTGCTTAAACAGCCTTAATGTAAAAACTCACTTTCCAGCAACAACAGACATTTAAATCAATAGTAGATTGTGGCTACATTATTTGCATCTTAACAATATTTTTAAATATCAATCCTAAAACAGCTGTTTCCTGTGGTAACATTTCTTTGTAGGAAAACACTGTTCACCACATAATCCTTTTAACTCAAGGTAAAAGCATGTACAGTAGATGCAGTTTACTGTTTTGATAATAGCATATACTGTTACCATTTAAGGATGTTCACAGATAGCTTAACAAAATCAAAGTTAAAACTTTACTTATGTTTTCATTATCTACTTTACTCATAGGAAAACACCTGTTTTGGATCTCCAAAATCCATCAATTTTGGAGCTTCCAGAATATCTGATGTTAGAAAGAAACACAGAAACTTGATTGCACTACTGGCCAATTAAATATAAAATGACCAAGTTTATTGTTTTTTTATAGAAACTTAATTGCTGAAAAATTAAAAAAAATACTAAGATGCAATTAAAGTTATCTTGCTTGTTCTGTTGGTAATATAAAAACCTCATTTTTAATGATCTGGTGATTTACTCAAAATTAATTTTCAGAAAAGATAATTAATTAATTAAAAGCAAATGTAGCCATACAGTATATGCCAGATCAGTATGGTTTCACCAGCAAAATACTTTATACAATCAGGAAAGCTGTTCAATGTTTGTCTTGATACATTTGATCTATTTGTTTCCTATCAATAAGTCTAAAATTGTAAAATACCTGTCCACAGTTTGTACTGTGTTGGATGAACATATCATATCTGCATATCTGACTCTTTGATTAAATACCTAAACACAAAATAGCATTACAGTTCTCTTGTGATTAAGTCTCTTGTGGTAAATTCAGATTTATCCAAAAAAAATGAATATTTGAGTGAAATGAAATACTGTATTTAGGGTAGGCAAGAATATTATATTGAATATTATATAATAGGGAATATTTTCATTTTTTTTCTGTAAAACCTCTTTAGTTTTGAGAGAATTTTATCATCGACCAACAGGACATACGATACCACATCACTACTGAATTTCCTTGGTGTTAGTGATGATTGCAGCCAAGTCAAATCATGCTAAACAGAGCTTTCGGTCTTGAGAAATAAAGGGAAGTTGCAATAAAATAGGCTGCGAGAAATGAAAACAATTTCACAAGACAGTGAATTATTCCACCCTATAACAGAAAGCTGGAATTGTGGTTAGGGAGCTGAGTGGTATCCTGGGTGGGACGCTGGCATTTTCCTCTTCACTCAGATTGCCTCAGTGAATGCCCTGGATTATCGGCAGTCTCCAAAGCACAATATTGCTATTTTTTTTTTCACAATATATCCATTCTGTACTTGCTTGTATTTAAACAGTTGAGCAGCTGCTAAAAGGTAATGCTGGACAAGAAAAATTTACAAAGAGGATGTTTGGGTTAAACTATTTCCATACATGCAGGCTCTTGTATGCCATGGTTTGTTTATAGGAATATTATATACAAGGAAAGTCAGAAAATGTGTCTGTCACAACCACTTTCCAGTCCGACTTTTTCCTCAAAATGATGAGTGCTTAATAAGACGGTCATATCTTGCACACAGCTTTGTGTTTAAAATCACACCGTTCCTGATAAACTAAAGTCAAATGTTTTGAATATTCAAATGACAATTATGGTTTGCTCACATCCAAGTCTTTTGAAATATTGAGACACTGAGAAAATGCCCTACAGATGTTGCAACATCAAAGTTATGTTTTTTCCTTTTAACAGTAAGGCGTGTAAAGAATAGCTTCTTCCTGTTCTTTTTCAGCTTTCCCATGAGGGATATCACAGTTTTAATTATCTCCTCAGACATCAAAATAGTTAGTAACAACTCATCTATCTAACCTTTCATTATCATACCCATCCATCCATTTTTTAACTGTTTTATCCAGTTTTTCCCAGAGACCAATTATCCTACTAGTATGTCTTTGGATTGTGGGAATCCCACTGGAAACCCACACATACAAAACATGGGGAGAACATACAATCTCAATGCAGATAAAACCCCAAGAATTGAACCCAGGTCCACAGCACTGCAAAGCAGTAGTGCTTACTACTGAACCACCGTGCCACCCACTATTTGAATTATTTGAACACAACATACTTTAATAGAAATTATGAGATTCTAACTACATATGCCAGCATTATATTTGCCCTTTTTACCTTTTTACTGTTTTCCTGAGTGTCAAGATTTAAATGACGTGTCAATATTTTCACATATAGCCTCTTCTTGCTCCGTATACAGTAAATACATTTTGTATTCATAGCTTTTACTACCCGTATGCAATAACTTACACTTGTCCACATTAACCTTCATTTGCACTATCTTGACTTATACTTCTACGGAGTTTGTTAATTGTCCTATATTGTATCATCTGCAATCTTGACTACTTTAAAAAATGATACCAGATATTTTTAGATCACTAATCTAAATGAAGAAGTAGTGGTCCTAGTGCAGATCCCTGTGGTATTCCACTAAATACATCATCCCAATTGGAGAATTTGCCAATTTTTAAATACACACATTTCCCTAACTGCCTACTGCATGCAGTTTGCGAATTAATCATTTAGGAAAAACTGAAACAGAAAAAATCCATCTGAAAATCTAAATACACCATGTCTTCTGTCCTGTGTATGTCCATTACTGTTGTTGCTTGTTTAGAGAACACTAAAAAATGTGATTCTAACATGCTGACTTGTCTCAATAATATTATTTCTAAATAGGTGACCTTTCTTTTTTCCTAACCTTACATGTAAGAGAATTCAGAATTCTTAAACCATAATTACTTGAATGTATATTAAGGGTTTGCACTCAGTGATGAAATGCTTTGCATTTAGATCAAAAAGTTAGAATTTTGTCTTGGAACAAGTAAAGGTTTATTCCATGCTGAAAAGAGAAGAAAAGAAACACAACATTTCGGCTGTGGAGCCTTCTTCGGGTATATTGTTAATATTGTCTTTTTCTGACCACAAAATCTTTTGCCACATGTTTGTAGTATCACTTGAATGCTTTGTCACAAACGTCAATTGGGATTTGAGATTGGTTTGCTGTTCAAGCATTATTTTGTTAGCTTTGTTTAGTATTAGTCAGGAATACTCTTCACACATTTACTTTAAAATGTGTACACAGAATTTGTAATTTGATTGTCGTACCACAGTTTGGTTTAGAAACACTTGTGACTGGCTGAGGAATAAAGGAATCCATTTGCGTCAGTGTAAAAGATGGAAAGGCTGACTGGATGACGAAGGACTTTATCGAGGCAAGTGAGTAAAGCCAAAGCTTGTAGAGGCCAAGGCTGATGGAGAAAGTCGAGGCCGTGCAGGCAAGGGCTGACGGAGATCAGATTCGGTCAACAGGATTGCCACCTTCCCAGTGCAGAAACAAGAATGGCAGGATCAGGATAACAAGGGATAGCCACGAACTGGAACAGCCTGGGCAGTAACAGGTACTGGCTAGTCTAGACGGGGAAGTAAAACTTTGTTTCGTATGCAGAACAGGAACTCTTCTTGTGGAGAGCAACACCCAATCAAGAGGAGCTTGATAACAGAACACCATAGCAGTGCCAAGTGGGGGGGTTAAATATCAGGTTGATTGCTAACTAACTGTTGACAG